ATGTTGATATCTGTTGATACCCGAAACGGTATTCAAAGTCACGGTATCTGAATAGTCATGAACTAACGTTTTGTTATAGTCAAAGTTTTGATTTCCGTTGAAAAATTAGCTTCACATTTCATCAAATTGACGTGTTTTTTAAAGAAATGATAATAAATTCGACGCCTCCTCTTTCTGCATTTTGCACGTGCAACCGGGGTGACCCACATGTATGCGATGTGCCAGTTTTGAGCGCAATCGGCCCAACCGTTCTCGAGATCCAGAAGTGGCACCCTGCATGTGGGCACGTGCAGCAGTACCCAAATTGGCTGATTGGCTGACGATGACGTGGCTGCATTCCTCAGCAAGGCACTCTTTACTTAAAGGGACCATCCCACCTTAACATTAGTTTTGAGTTGAGATAGCCAAGTTTGCGGCCAGGCTCAGAAACCACCATTTATCCTGGTCGCAACCCCCGCAGCTTTATGGTGTTCAAGAAATTTCTTCCCTTTACTTGCAGGGTGGGACCAGCTTAGTCCCTATCTCTTAACCATTACGCGAATCTGATGACGTCATCAGGCTTTCGAACGTCCGTTAAATGTTTGACTAAAACGTTTTGTAGCACGCGGTGGTATATGCTGCTTTGCGCGCAACAAATGCCGCACTTTCAAATAAAGTCGCTAGGAACAGCGGAGATCCCAAAAAGTAAACAAAAGTAAAAGTCTAATATCTTGAAAACCAGTGAATATTTTTCGATGAAATTTGGTAGATATTCGTTTTCGCTCTTTCTGAACCGAGCGACATCACTTTCATGCCAATTCATAAACTTTTTTGAAGGTGGGAGGGTCCCTTTAACCCGCGCATGACTGGGGGGGGGGGGGCTCTACAGAGCCCCCTCCCGTTTTTCGGCAATATCTTCTAAACCGTATCACGGATCAACACGAAACTTGCAGTACCCTCAGAGGCATTAATTTGACATTTTGTGTTAAAATTTCAACTTTCTAGCTACCCTAGTTTGGCCGGAAATGACGTCAGAGTGACATCATGTCGGCCGATTTTGATGCAAAATATTGAATTACGGCAAACGCTCTTAAGAACTTAGTCTTAAAGCTAGATCCAATTTCTTTGCGTCAGTGGACTACAAATACACGCAGCTACCAGACTGCTCTCTCGAATTGTCAAAATTTTGAAAATTTTGAAAAATATGTTTTTACAATAACAAAAAATATATTTATTGATTTTTTTCAAAAAGTTTGATTTTTTAACCGGAATTTATGTAATAGAACACACACTGATGAACTACTCTAGCAAGTTTTAGCCCAATATCTGCAAAGATAGCCAAGTTATTTGCATTATTGTCAAAATTGTACAATGATATATTTTTTTCAAAATCATTTTTTCAGTACGTTGTTGACATCGTACGGCAACATAAATGGCACCATCGTGTTCCTGAGCTCAAACTGCATCTGACAGGCATTTTTTTTTGTAAAAAAATAATTTTCAAAATTTGACCTTTTCTGACCTGAAATTGACCTGACCTCCGGTAAATTCAGCTAAAAAAGACCTGAAATAACAGAGACATTATTTTCGAAATCTACGTGTAAAATTGACCATAAAACATGCGTCACGTGGCCGATACATGATATACAATTTTCGTGACCTAGGATGACCTGGCCTTGACCTGAAAAATTCGAAGTAAAAGTTTAAATTGTAAACAAGCAAAAATGCCGATAATTTTTATTTTGACCTGACCTGTGACGTCATCGGTGACCTCGAGGTCAATGAAAATAGGTTTCACTCGCAGGGTTGTGCTTGACTCATGAGTCGAGTCAGAAATTTGACTCAACTCTGACTCAAATGAGTCAGATTTGAGTCGAGTCGGATAAAATGTTGAGCTGTTGAGTTGAGTCAGAGTTGAGTCGGACACAAATATTAAGGCGTTGAGTTGAGTCAGAGTTGAGTCAGTAAAATAACTTTTGACATTGAGTTGAGTCAAAAACATTTAGGAACATTAGTCAGCTGACTCAACTCATTCTAGCCTTGGTATATAGAAGGTCTCTTGTTTTGAAACACTTTTTATTAGTGTGACGTTATGGGCGCAAAATGACCTTCGCAGTCGGCGCGCCCTAAAGCCCCAATAAACAACAACAACAGCTGACTCATCTTTCTAGAAACAATCTACATAAGCTTTTCATTCTCCCCCTGCTTAACAACTTAGGCCTGGCCCTGCTGCAGGATTTTTTTCACCCCTCCCCCCGCTCAACAACTTTTTTATCTGAGTCAATTTTGAGTCAACTCACTTGACTCAACAAAAAATTTGAGTCAAGTTTGAGTCAACTCATATTTTCATTGAGCCGCTTGAGTCATGAGTTAAGGGAAAAAATCAGCTCCTTAATTGAGTCAGAGTTGAGTCAGGGCTTTCTGAAGTTGAATGATGAGTCGAGTCGGCAATTTTTTTTTTGAGTCGAGCACAACCATGTTCACTCGACAGTTTTTCAAGGGCTATCAGACGCCGTTTGAAGTTTGACGATCGGCCGAGTAGTTTCGGAGATAAGAGGGGGCTCTGGAGAGCCCCCCCCGCTTAGTCACTCGCGTTATGGAAAATACCCCAGTCATGCGCGGGTTAAGGAGCGAGAAATGGAATATCTTAGTCTAGGGTGATCGTTGGGCCGTAAAAGCTCCTGATTTGTGCTAGTCTCAGCTCAAGCTACGAAACTGCTATTCCAGTTTAAAATCCCATGTTAACCCGCGCCCCGCTGGGGTCGTGGATTTCCACGCCCTGGGGGGAGGGGTCACAGGTGCATTTTTCCGATTCAGTGTGTCATGTTTGCCTATGAAACGATGTTTGTGAGGGTTTTGAACATTATTCGTCCAAAAGAGGCGCATTTCAATTTTCTCCCATTGATTTATAATGGAGAATTCGCAAAATTGACCTGACCCTGGGTCACCGATATCGAAAATCCGAGATATACAGTTTGTACATACTGTTACTCTTATCAATCGCTGAAAGTTTCAAGGCGATCGTTCAGTCGGTGTAGCTATGACTAGGATGGAAACTTTTTTGAGGTGAGGTCACTTGACCTGACCTGGTGACCTGACCTTGAGAGCCCTGGGTCTGAAACTGGAAAAAGAGCTCTGTATATAGAGTGCATCCCTTAGAGGCAAGAAAAAAGATCTAGTTGAAATGTAAGCTTTTTTTTAATAATTCCAATCAATTGAAAGGATATTTTTTCCATTTTTGACTCTTGCTTTAATTCATCTGGGAATAATTATTGAAATGTGCAGCAGATTGCCTACATCATTCTCCATCTTTTGGATTTTGGAGTTAGAGTTCCACCTAAATACCTACATTGTTTGGCGTATTAATAGTATTCCTGTAATCTCTATACCCCTTTAAATGATTAATTATGCATGTGCTATTTATCATATCAGAAAATATGAGCGTTTCAGGGCGTAGTTTAGCATGTTATCTCACTGTGGTGGCAAAAGCCTCCGCAGTTGCGGATGGTGCCTACCCAGTAACAGCCATTTCCCTCCCCAGTTAATGCCATCCATTCGATGAACATTGCCACTCCGACAGCGCCCCTGAAGTAATAAGCCACACAACTGTTCACGGCACACAACTGAGTGTGCTGAAGGCTTGAATTTTTCATTAAGATTCTTTCAAGCCACGCTTTTCTACTAGCTTAGGGTCTTTGAGGAAGTGATGACCCCAGTGTGCAACCAAACGAACAACACAGTCCCATTACCTATGCGTTCAAAGTTCAGGCGCTATTCTTATAAGAAATATCTTTACAAAGCCAAAGCATATGCTGACAACGCACCAAATTAAATCTAACCAGTATAACGCCTTTTGGGGCGACTAACAGAGCGAGCGAGATGGTGAGCCTTGCACGTGCGAAATTTCGACGGGGTACCTCAAGCTGACTTGTGCACGGCACCCTACTAACCGGTCTTTAGCGATGTGCCAAATTTCAGCACAATCGGCCCAGCCGTTCTCGAGATCTGGAAGCGGCACCCTGCACGTGCGCACGTGCAAAATGGGTCTCAACTGACTTTTGCACGGCACCCTACTAACCGGTCCCTAATCATGTGCCAAATTTGAGCGCCATCGGTCCAGCCGTTCTCGAGATCTGGAATCGACCCCTGCACGTGCGCACGTGCAGCAGCACCCCAACTCTGGCACATGGATATGCATTGCCTAGTGGGTGCCTACCTACATGCCAACTTCAGCGCAATCGGCCAAGTAGTTACCGAGATATTGCAACAATTACAAAACTGACACCTCTTCGTTTTGCGCGTGGCACGTGCATAAGGGGTCACCCACATGCATCGGGAATAGTCCAATACTTGGTAGAAGGAATGAAGCTACCCTACAAAAATACCCCGTGTAAATCGGTCAAGTGGTTGCTGAGATATAAGCCTCGCAAAAGCGTCCGCACGGCCGGTCGCTCATACTCAGAAATTTTCGTTAATCTAAGGAAAGACTACGCTCGCTTCGCTCGCTCCGTAATCAACGACTATTCGTTCCCCTATTCACCCCCCCCCCCATCCCACCCCGACACCTCAACCTTCAAATGCCAGCCGCCATGCTCCCGAGTCCCGATCGGCCCTTGCGACATGAGCGCCCCTAGCGGCGAAAATAACGCGTCACCTCCCATTGATGTGTGATAAGGTGTGCCAAAAACGGCGTCGCCGTTTTTTGAGATATTCGCGAAAAACCACAGGCGGTTCAAACACCCCCCCCCCCCCCCAGGGCGCGGGTTAAAATTGAACTATTTACTTTCCCCTGCAGGCAAAACCGTTGACGGTAGGTCAAATTTGAGATAATTACTCAGATAGAGCGTTGAAAGGGTACGTATCAAATGCGCGCTTTTCCATCCGCCCGCGACGCTGTAACTCTACTAGTGTCCATTTGTTTAAAATTGTCTAAATTTTACGGAGAAATCGGCGAATTTTGGCCAATGACCTCTGGTGACCTGACCTTTGACCTAGGCAAACAGTGACTGATTATTTCTTCCTAATTTTTGACGATTTTTCGAACACCGCTTTCCCCGTATCGCTACGTGGCCCAGGAGCCGAGTTAGAAGGCGGTGTTTTAACACCCCAACCCCCCAGCAGGGCGTGGAAATCCATGACCCCCAGCGGGGCGCGGGTTAAAGGCTGAGGGTGACAGGCTGGAAAGTCCGCCAGAGTGATCTTCGCTTGTGCATGAGCCATGATGGTGAAGCCAGGCTGTATACCGCCTGATGAGAGCGGCTTGTTCCTTTGACAACTGGCAACTAATGTTGCAATTTATACATATGCCAAAAAGGTATAATCTTTATCTAAGTTCAAACACTAAAGCTATGGGAGTACAAACTTTCCAAATACTAGCTGGCTTGTACACCCGTTGTTTACAAGGAAGCACTCGATTCTAAAAAGAAAGCTCGTAGGCCGGAAAGAACACCATCAGAAGGGTGTACCAATTCGTACCTCGTGCTTGGGGTTCCTAACGGCGGACGCTCCGAGATGGGTGTAGCCAGGAGATTGTCTATCTGGCCGACCTGTTCGTTCATGTACAGGCGTAGATCACTCCGGCGGGCTTCCAGCCTGTCTCCCTCAGCCTTCAAGATGTCGATTTCCTCTTTTGTGCGCGATAGACGCATGAACAGATCACACACCAAGCGTTTTTTTCGGAGATCTGGCTCATCTCCGTTCGCTGCTTCCCATGTAATCTGCCCGGTTATGCAGTCACCTACCGAGACCGATGTGCCGGTGAGCTCCTCATATCTGATGAGAAGCCGCGACAGCCTGCTACTCTCATCGCGCCTAAGGCGACGAAGGCGAGTCCGGGCTTTCGACGTGTCGGCATCACGGCTTATCATCTTCGTCTTGGCCTGTATGCTGGCGCTGAGGAGCTCTATCGAGTCTCGAAGCTGTTGGACGTTGACGTTGGAGGACCTCGCACTGCTCTCGAGAGACCTTGCCAGAGTGCGAAGCTCCCCAACGTATCGGCTAAGAGACTCGCGGTCAATCGTGAATCGGGCTAGGGCACCCTCCAGCTCTTCTTCAAGGTCCCTCGCCTGCTTTTCCATCCGCTGAAGTCGCTCGGTGAGCTCCCGCGACAGTCGTTCTCGCCTCCGTGCATTCCAGTAGAGGATCTGGTCGGTTAATTCGTCGACCCTCTGAGCCCTCGACATGTGTTTCGTTGTGTTGCCGGCTCTACTCAGGTGGGCGTTGGCGATCTCTGTGGTCTCCATGACCGACCATCCAGAGCCCTCTTGCCAGAAGCCACCGTAAGTAATCTGGAATATGAGATGCAGCTGAACACATACCTACATATTTACTATCCATGACGTCACCAACTAAGCAAGTGCGCGTCAACTAAGAAAGTGGCTGCTGTTAGTTCGTATATTTGTTTGCGCGTTGATAAGCTGACTACGCATTTTAGAACAGGGAGTAAATCGGCATCTTTTAGAGGAACGATTTATCGAAAATTCACGGAAATTTTACATTACATCTTTAAATGGACCCTGACACAAAGTCAGTGAATTGGCATACAAGTAATGTACCGCAGTTTAAAAAGGGCAAAATTTCTATAAATTTTTAGGAAAAAAAAAATTAAGTGACCATCCCACCTTAACATTAGTCCTGAGTTCAGATAGCCAAATTGGGGTCCCTGGCTCGCACATACCGGTGTGGACACTCACAACATCGAGAAAGGCTTTAATTCCGAGATATTTAATTTCAAAGTTTTAGCACATTTGATTCAGAGGGGCTAATCCATTTAAATGCCCCCTCTGAATTTGTGACGTAAGCGCCTATCTAGCGATTTTTAAATCTTATACTAACAGCTTTGTGAAGCAGTGGTGGTATATGCTATTTGCGCGCAACATCTGCCGCAAGTGCCGCACTCTAAAGATGCCAAATTATTGCTTCCAAATGACGTCGTAGGAACAGCGGAGGCCTCAAAAAGTTAACAAAAGTTAATGTGTAAAAATCATGAAAACTGGTGAATATGTTTTGTTAAATTTTGGTAGATATTCGTTTTTGCTCTTTCTGAACCGAACGTGCTCTTTCTGGTGAGCACGCTCGGTTCTGGTGAGCACTTTTTTTAAGGTGGGAGGGTCCCTTTAACCCCTATGTAGACATAAAACTTTTATTTCTGTTAATTTTTTTCGGGGCCTCCGCCGTTTCTATGACGTCAGTCGGAAGTCATTATTAAGCACCTGTAAAGCTCGGCAAATGTTGCGCGCAATTAAGTATATACAAGCACAAACATAAGTATCTTTTACCAAGGTTTTGGAAAATCGCAAGATCTGCGCTGACGTCGCAAATGCTAAGAGGGCATTCAAATGCATTAGACGGCACCATCAATGCACCAGAAGTCAGTTAGAGGTCTGTATTTGCACTTTCGCACGTGCGGGGCTCACTGACATTGCAATCTCTTGCCCCAAAAGGCGAAAAGGGAGGTAAACTCTTTACTCGTCATTTATAATATACTACTATAGGTGCCCAGCCGCGCAGCGTAATATAAATCCAGTTTCATTGAAATCGGCCCAGTAGCGGCTGAGTTATTGCAAGAGTTAATTTGGCAATTCCTCTAAGCCGGCAGTGCCCTGCGAACGGTGTTCATTGTCAAAGTTCAATGACCTTTTGGCTCTGATGCTTTTCGCTCAGTTTTTGCAGCGAACAACCTGAGCCTAAAGCACGTGCTCTCTGCTCGGCGCCGGCCGCAGCCCAAAATGCGGCAAAGATACGCCCGCCACGTGCACACCGCTGAACCCACCCCCTCCAAAATTTAATACAAGAAACAGATGCCCGCGTCCGACTTACGTCGAAAATTTCACCCTCGTAGCCCGCACCGTTTCGGAGCAATAGCCCGCCAAGCGTGACTGACGCGTTACATACATACATGCAAACGTACAGACGTTTTGATTTTTAAACAGGGTAACTAGAGGGACAGCATTACGCGCAGCGTAAAGAGGGACAGCATTACGCGCAGCGTAATAAATCAATTTTCATTCAAATCGGCCCAGTAGCGACCGAGTTATGGCCAGAACAAATTTGGCGTCTCCTCCTGGCCGGCGGTGCTCTGTTCCGGTATTCATTGCCAAAGGTCAGTGACCTTCCGGCTCTGTTTTCCCTCATTTTCGCAGCGAACAATCTGAGCCTAGGGCGCGTGCCGTCTGCTCGGCGACGGCCGCGGCCCAAAATCCCGCAAAGATGCGCCTGCCACGTGCACACCGCTGCACGCACCCCCTCCAAAATTTAATACGACAAACAGATGCACGCGTCCGACTTATGTCCAAAATTCCACCCCCGCAGCCCGCACCGTTCCGGGGCAATAGCCCGCCAAGCGTGACTGACGCGTTACATACATACGGACATTTTGATTTTTATATATGTAAATACTGTATGTTTGGTACGAAACGACAGGTAGCTAATGCTCTGTACGATTAATGTCAACTATGCGAATTTTTGTCCGCATCTATCTCCATGGGAATTATAGCAATCTGAATCAATTAACACTAATGATTCACAAATTCACGCGCATTCCTCCCACCTGGCAGTGATAAGAGTGGCCTGTGGCGTGCATGACGCTCAAGTATGGAAGTGACTGTGTGGAGAGCTCCGGCATCTTGCGATGCACATCCTGCAGCCACTTCCAATACTGGCAGACCACGTCGTAGGCAAAGAAGGGCACGTTTGGGAACCTGTGAAAAGGGAAAAGGGAAATCAACGGTACGGTATGGGAGTCATGGGCGATACCATGGGAACCCCATCGGAGTTATGCTTTACTCTGCATTGCAACTTCCACAGCACGACAAAAACACTGTTCTGATATCTTAAGTCTAGTTACAAAACGATGGTATGGAATTTATTGGACACTATTAACATGTTAAAATTCAGCGACATTCGATTTTCTCAAGTTCAATTTTAAGCTTTTCACAGTCTTCAAACGTACTTGGTGCCAAAGCGCTTTGAAAAAAAAACAACAACTTATAGATGGTACCTGAACTGGTGCAGGAAGTGAGCGTAGGCATATATTTCGCCCCGATACATATCCAGTGCTGATAGCACCACGCTATGCCGGCAGGTAGCCAGGCACAGTCCAGTGACGTCTTGGGAGCGTCTAGCACTCAACACGCTAGACGAGTTTCGCGCGGCTGACCACGTGGACGCCCCGCAGAGGGTGCTGACCTGTAACAACCAAAACGACGTTATTTCACTATTCTCCATATGTAAACCGCGCCCGGATGGGATCTCAGCTAATCTTGCCATGATCGGGGGAGGCGTATTTGGCAACACTAGATTATCTCGAAAACTGGCAACACTAGATTATCTCGAAAACTAAAGGTCTGTTCCCGTCGCTCTTCTAACCTCCTCAAAGCTCCTCTAGCCTCCTCCCGTTTCAAAAAAATCGTTCCCGTCGCTCCTCTAAGCTCAACCCAATTCCACATCTCACCACCATTACTTGCCTCCTCCCTCATCCCAAACGAAAGTTTTTTTTTTTGGCTCTGTGTAGACATTACTAGCGCGCGTAATACAAACGTGGATTGTTTATAAGTGAGATTTGTGCGAGGTGGAAATGATTGTGGGGATTAAAAAGCATAGCTGCATATGATATCTTTGAATAGTAACTTTCAATATTTATCTCTGGTTATTTTATTTAAAATGATTATTATCACTAAATCATTGTCCGCGCGCCATAAATTGCCGACCGATTGTTACAGCCCGCAAACAGCTGATTTCCTCGCAAAAATTGTTCCCGTGGCACCTCTGAAACGGTTCTCCGCTAAGCTCATCCAACCTCATCTGATATTTTTTGGAGGAGCGACGTGAACATACCCACATTACTAGTGATACAAAGCATGCCGTACTGCCACCTAGCGACCGTTAACAAAAGCTTTAGCGCGAACATTCCCACTGAGGGTTACTTGCATCTAACTTGATCAAAGATCTAAATCACGCATCTAAGATCCGAAACCAAAAGGCCAAAGGCCGAATCTTATGAAATAAAATTGATCCACATACTGCAATTAAAAGTCTAGCCAAGGTCTGACATACCCAAGACAGATCGGATTTAAAGCGCAAGCGGCGTTGATGCACGTGCCTTTAATTATATGCCCGCAAATATATAGTGATGGGATTGACGGCGCACCAGCAACGAGGGGATCCCGGCGACTGCGCTGAGCCTTCGCGCCACCCGCTGGAGGGGGGGGGGCATCAAATGCCTCCTTTATTTCTGCGACGATATTATCGCAACGGGAAGAGATAGAGAGACGAAACTTTGCACACATCTTGCTGAATACCTAGCCGAGGTTGTGCCCAAATTTGATGTTGATTCCATTTGAAATGACGTAACAGTATCGTCGTAGGTCAAATTGTAGATTTGCGACTCCAAGTTTCCTCACCATATATCTGATATATGGGACGGAATATAAAAAACGATAATTGGTCAGAAACTAGCTGGGTGTGTACTTAGATGTGTCAGTATGACAGCAGATGCTGTTTAGTCCGTTTACGGTTGGATATCATGCTCAGCGACATCAGAAACGCTCCATATGGAAAAACGACAAAACTTTATGACGTCACTGTGACATCATCTTCAGAGCTACAACCACCAAACATTCCTCAAACGTTGCCTTGGTATTCATTTAAATTTTTAAACTATGCCAAGTTTCAAGTTCGTAGCTCATCCGGTTTCGGAGATATTCAACAAAACGTAAAGGGGGATGCAACTTCATGCCCCCGCCCCCAGCGGCTCGCGGGCTACTCATATATCACTTAACCCTCGCATGTGTAGGGGGACCCCCTCGCATGTGTAGGTCGGATGGACCCCCCATGGTTTTTCACGAATAACTCGCGTAAAAAGCGGCCGATCGCGACGAAACTTTCAGTACCCTCGCATTGATCAATTTTACACCTACCCTGAAAATTTCATGACCCTGACCCAAATGACCTTTGACCTGTGACCTCTTTTCCGAGACCATGTTTGGCCGGAATCGCGTTTCCGCGTATGTCGGCTCGCATTAGCCGCGCGTTTGCAGTCTTTTCGTGGTTTTCACACGTTCAAACATGTGATTTGATGTTGCTCCCATGCATTAGGGTGGGTGTCAAGGTCACCTGAAGGTCAGGTCATTGACCTTTGGTGACCTCGGTTCACTTTTTCGAGTTTCTTTCTTTTGACTTCGTAACATGTTACGAAGCTGTCAGAGGCGGTTGACACGTACTACGAATACCCGTCACGACGCCTACTGGTTGACCTGAACTGACCTGACCCGACCTGGTCTAAATGCTTAAAGACATCATCTGTGATCAAAACTAGCACGATATTCGTGATCTGCACCCCGAAAACCCCCTTAGCAGCCACACTTTACGACATTCTAACAGGTCCCGATTTTCCCGACTTTGGGTCATTGACCTGACCTGGAAGGTCAACCAATGACGTAGGACCTTAAAATTGGGTATCATCGGCTTCCTCTCGTCACGGGCAACACACTCGTTTTTTTCCGCGAAGCTCTAGCTCGATCAGGGGCCAAACGGCAAGGGGGGTCCGACCCCCCCCCCCCCCTACACATTAGAAGCTGGCAAACGCCGCACACATGCGAGGGTTAAACATATCCGAGAACATTTTTCTCACGACTTTTCACACATTTTCTCACAACCATGCAGGTCCAGAGATCGAACCACGTTAAAGTGATTCAGGCGCTTTATCTCCGTTCTTTCTTAGGTTTGTCAGACTATAGGCAAGTCTCTAAAAAAAAAAAACTAAACGCGTGTTGGTGGTACCTATCTGGAAGCTCAATCTTTTCTTTGCAAAGCGTGTCTAAATCGGTAATAAAATTTGCAGCACGTCCGTATATTCTTTTACTATAATGAAAACCCAATTATCGTATCATACCTTGCCGATGCTCGCCAGCCTCTCAACGTGTGCGTCCACGTCTTCCTTGCTGGCAATGCATGAGCCGTCGTGGTAAGGTCGCCTGTCCGTGTCTCCACCAGCAGATTTAAAACGGTAGAGCTTCCCATTGCCGTCCACGTGAACGCACATAGGCTTGGGTCCACAAGCATGGCACTGGAAGTCTTCATGTCCAACGACACGCCTGGCCTCAAACACCATGTACGACCATTCAGAGTAGGCCTTCTGGAAACGTTCCGGATCCACTGGTGCACACTGCAAGAGAATACAGGGATAGGCCAAACCGTGGCGTCAGTTAAAAAGGCATAAAGTAATGCATATTGCATAACTACCATGAACAGAATCGCTGACTCGATTCGAAAATTGGTAGCAGTGAAAAACGAACTTTTCCCAATTTCTTTGACACTTAATGCCTTCGTACGGACATCGGGTGCTAACTGCCACGAGTGACGTCATCATATTATGCTCATTTTTTAAGATACGATTTCATCCATTAACCGAACACGATTTGAAATAAGGTATTTTAGCGGCAATAAAAATTTAGTCAGACGGTAAATTTGTCAAAGCTAATGTAAGGGCCTCGATGATGAACTTGGAGCCAAACGTCTTTGAACAAAAATATGGCGGTCGATAGGACGTAATGGCCTGTGTTTAGTCCCGTTATTCCCCGGCGCCGGATCGCTGTAAGTGCCGCAGATCATACGATCAGAGACAAATAATATCATCCCATGAACACATCTTGGGCGAAGGCTATGAGCGAGCACAATGGTGAGCGCCACAGATTGTCCGTGTCTCGTCCCACGATAATGGACTTACCGTTCCACCGAGCTGGCCCATTTTCTCTAGAGACATGGCAAAAGCAGCTAGTGATGTTCCAGGTGAGAGGCTCTTCAGGTTTCTCCAGAGGTGGAATACTTCCAAGGAGAATATGGTGGAGGTATGACAAGGCGTGCCTCTGAAGTAGCCGCTGGCCATGAAGTCGGCGTCCAATGGGTTTTGACGATTGTTGCACGCCTCACACACCCAGACAGGCAGGTTGAGATCCAACCGCCCTGGAACAAAACAATTACGTCAGGCTGAAGCGTACTGCTAAAAGACATGCTACTGAGAAAAAAAGCATGGCAATAGGCAGGACATATTTGAAATATACTCGTATGCCAATTAGACAAATGAAGAAGCTGCAAATGACACATGCACAATGTACTTGTCTTGAGCTAGGATACCCACAAATTTTAGTTCCCATTTGCGAGCAATAACCTGCGCCTTGCCCTGTGTCCAGGCCAATCGGCGATGGAGAGGCTTCCACTGGTGCTCATTGACATCACAGCTTTCACAGCTGAACGTCTTGTCGCAGTCCAGGCACAAGCTCGTGGCCGGTTGACCACAGTGAAGACAAACCGCTGAAAGAAAATCGAACTGACGTTGGTAGACGGTATGCTTGAGCGAACAGTTCTATCGTTACCGTCATGGCAATGCCAAATCACAAACAACATACGAGTTTACAAATCCGGGACGTACTTTCGCTGGCAGCTAGTAAGACAGTTCCGAGGCTTCGAGTGGTTCCATGACGCTCGTAGAGACTAGCTCGGCGGTCACGTTACGAACAATGTCACTCGCTCGAGGGTTTAGGGGTGCTCTCAGGCGCGTTGATCCACGAGGACCTCCAAGTACACGGTAGTAAATTCAGTTTAACATGTCTTGTCGCCCTATATCACGTCGGAGTCACCAATGTCGGTCACCAACTATGAGTCGCGCTGGCTGTACCGAAGTCGGAGGGTCTGAGGCAGTCAATCTATCCTTGATCTGTGACTGATCTGTTAAGAGTCCGTCCGAGAGCCGTACGACGGCCGACAGAGCCTGGTGGTCGCGGACTGGTGCGGTAACCGTTACGTCCACCTGGGACGCCCAAGACGGTTCGGCACTTGTGGCGTCGAAACCGGACTTGCGTTCATAATATACCGTAAAGTGGGACTATTTGAGACAGTGGGGCTATTCGAGACAGTATTTAAAATCGCTATAAAATGAAGAGCGTTTGAGTTTTAGGTAATATTTTTGCTCAAGAACTAGGAAGGTGCGGAATCGAGCAGTAAATCGCCTGAGCAAAATTTAAGCATAAATTCCAAACGGTTTTTATTTCATACTAATTTTAAATATTGTCTCAAATAGCCCCACTGTCTTTGCAAATAGCCCCACCTTACGGTACTCACTTATCGAGCGACCCTGCATGCCTCCACAGAAAGAATCGTTCACAAAAAAAAATCAAATATAAATAGAATATGCGCACCAGCCGCACAGATCGAATCGTCCTAAAAAAGGAAGTCACACCATCCAAAAATTTACTGTCACTTACAGTACCTATTTTTTCAATAAATGGCAATTTAATCCACTAATAAACGATTTATGCTTACCACTGTTGGGCACAGCCTTCGCATGGAAGTACTGTTGAAACCGCTCATTCCGCTCAGCTTCCCAGTGACGCGCTTCAGCGTCACATCGGTTGCTCCAGGAACTTCCGGTAGAACCTTGATGGTTTGACTCTTCAGTTGCGCATAGCTCCTCTGTAAAATCATTATTCAGTCATAATTTGAGCCCTTCAATCACATCTTACATCCCTATAGCGAGGAACGGACAGGAAGGTACGGTAAGGTAATTAAGGTAATTGAGATTAGCCGTTTCAGCAAGTACGTCTAAAAAATATACATAGAAAAACTTCATTGACCCTGGTCCAATAACCGCTCTTTTAAAGGCACCCTCCCACCTTCAAAAAGTTAATGAATTGGCATAAAAGTGGTGTCCCTTGGTTCAGATTGAGCAAAAATGAATATCTACCGAATTTCAATGAAAAATATAAACCAGTTTTTGAGATATTAAACAATTACTTCTGTTTATTTTTCGGAACCTTCGCTGTTCCTACGACGTCATTTGGAAGCGATTATTTGGTTTCTTAAAATGTGCGGCATTTGTGGCAGATGTTGCGCGCAAATAGCATATACCACCACTGCTTCACAAAGATGTTAGTAGGTATAAGATTTCAAAATCGCTAGATCTGTGCTGACGTCACAAATTCAGAAGGGGCATTCAAATGCATAAGCCCCTCTGAATCCCAAGTGCAGCAACTTTGAAATTAAATATCTCCAAATTAAAGCCTTTCTGGATGTTGTGAGTGCCCAAACCGGACCGGAAGTGCGAGCCAGGGACTCCAATTTAGCTACCTCAACTCAAAACTAATGTTAAGATGGGTTGGTCACTTTAATATAATACACCTTTTTGCTTACCTGCTGAAGTATTGATGTGTGCAGCACCAAAATCTCCTTCAGCATCTCCGTTTTCATGTTCTTGACGTTGGTCCTCCGATCGACGCTTTGCAACTGTCAACAAAAAACAAGCAGGCACAAATTGTAAACCAGTAAAACGCCTTTCGGGCGACAAACAAGCGAGCGAGAGAGTGAGTCCTAAAGGTGCAGAAGGGCGAGATGGTATTTGCGGTGCGTCTGACTTCAGTACTGCACCATTCTAACCGGTCATTATTGTGCCAACTTGATGGCAATCGACTCAACCGTTCCCGAGATTTGGAAGCGGCAGCCTGAGTGACTTGACTTACCAGTTTAGCGCTAAAAATTCCCACTAAATTCTAAAATTCTACATCCACTTTGATTTGGTTCAGCGCTTCCCACTTTAAAATTTCAATACCCCTCCCACTAGAACACGTGCAGAGCTTACGCTCTCGCTCATTTGTAGTCTCCTAAAAGTGTTTCACTGCGTCTTCAGGTATAGTTACAAGGCCCGGTGTAGAACTGGTATATAGTTTCCCATAGTACTGCTTGTTTCACTCATTGAATCAGAATCAAAAAAGCAAAGTTTAAAAACTATCCGCCACCTTATACACCACTTGCTCATGAAAAAAGAGTTGTCGTGGATGGCTTAACCTTTTTGATTATTATTTTTTAATGACCGAGATTAAAATTCGATTTTATTTCATGAATGCTGTACTGCTGTAACGCTGTACTGAAAGGCTGTACTGAAAGAGCCAAACTAGAAAAGAAATCCCTAGTGGGTAAGGGTCATTCAGCACCCAAATTTCCACTCCTACTTCACTACGTTCTCATCTTAGAGAAAGGCTTCTCAAGCTGAGCACTTATTGATCACTGCATTCAATACCTACCCTTATTATTCAACACTTTCTGTGGTATTGAGACGTTAATAAATGACTAGCAATGACATTAAAGAGCCTAGCAAGGCAAACAAATGCTAGTCATCAGCACATAGGCACAGTCACAGAGCTTATGTATTCATAACACTTTCGTCTCTTGCTTAACTAGAAAACGCTAATTACATTACATACCTGGCGCTCCTTACCTCCTCGGAGTTCTCCTCGATGCAGTGGTCGCTTTCTTTCCCTTTCCATTCCCCAAATGGCATAGGTGCCTCCTCCGTTTCTTAACGGGTGAAACTGCAGTCATATCAAATTCTTCAAACAAAGAAGAATCTGAATCTGAAAAACACAAGGGTAAAATAAGGATAAGGTTATCACGGGCACATTCAACTAATTGAGGTTACTTTGCTTGTTAATTGGGGCTTTAAGGGGCGCCAACTACTTAAGTCATTTTGCGCCCATAACGTCGTAATTTTGAGGTTGAGGTTACTTGTTACGGAGCGAGCAGTCTTTCCGAAAATTCTGAGTGTAAGCAGCTGGCCAGCCAATTGCAATATCTCGGCAACTACAGGGCCGATTGCGCAGAAAGGTGGCATGGAGGTAGGCATCCAGACCCACTGGCAATGCATTTCCCTGTGCCACAGTTAGGGTCATGGCGGGGGTGCTGTTGCACGTGCGCAAGTGCAAAGGTCGATTCCAGATCTCATGCACGGCTGGACTAATTGTGCTCAAATGTGGTACTCTGTTAGGGACCGGTTAGTAGGGTGCCGTGCAAAACTCATTTGGGACCCAGATAACACACGTCTTAAGTTCTGGGTTCCCTTATTCTCCTTGCCATCCTTTCCTGCTTTTATGTTTCTGGCACCAGGAACCAAACCAAGTGAGACCAGGTTAGATAACTGAAGAAGACAATCCCATGACAAAACATACCACAAATCACTGGGTAGATACCAGTGGCATATCCAGGGGGGGGGGGGGTCCTGGGGACCCCGTGGAGCCTAGAAAAAAAGTTTTTTTTAACTCGGAAAAAATGAAATGACTTAGAGGGACCTTTTTACCACTTCCCTTTTTTTGCATACTGAAAAAGTTTTAGGGAACTCTTTTAGGGACCATTTGAGGACTATCAGAGGGCACCTTTTGGCCAATGAGGGACCTTGTGAAGTAAACATAGGGCTCTTTGGAACGAACAGGATCCTCTCAGGCACACAGAGAGCCCTCTCAGGCACAGAGGGCCCTCTCAGGCACACTGAGGGCTCTCTCTGGCACAGAGGGCCCTGACAGGCACACAGAGGGCCCTCTCAGACACACAGAGGGCCCTCTCAAGCCACAGAGGGCCCTTTAAGACGAACAGAAGGCCCCATGCAGTATCCGAACAATTTTCAGGCCAAAAGGTGTCGTATGAGGCCAACAGACGGTCCTCTTAGATCAAAGGTGGTCCCTGGAGGTCAACAGAGGGCCCTCTGAGGTGAACAAAAAGTCCTCTCAGCCACCTCAAATAGGGCCCTTTGAGATCAAAGAGGGTCCTCTAAGGCGAATAGAGGGCCTTCAAAGGCCACAGCCCCTCTGAGATCAAAAAGGGTCCTTGGAGGTCATCAGAGGGCTCCTTCAGGCGAATATAGGGTCCTTTTAGGCAAACAGAGGGCCCTCTTACCTAGGCAAACAGAGGCCAGAGGGCCCCCTTAGACACCACAAGGAGGTAAAAAGGATCAATCTGAGGTCAAAGACAGCTATCTGAGATTAAATAGGGCCTTTTGGGGCCTCAGAGCTGGCCCTCTGATACGTAAGCATAAAAAGGGTCCTCTCAACTCTGAGGTCACCAAAGGGCCATCTGAGGCGAACAGAGGGCCCTCTAAGGCGAACAGAGGGCCCTCTTAGGCGAATCAAGGGCCCTCTGAGGCGAACAGTGGGCCCTCTGAGATCAAAAAGGGATCTCAGAGGCCACAGAGAGGCCCTCTGATGTCAAAATAGGACCCTCTGAAGTCCGAAGCCACCAGAGGGCCCTCTGAGGCGAACAGAGGACCCTCTCATCTGCCTCAAAGAGGGCAGATGGCCAACGAAAGGCCTTATGAGCCCAACAAAGGGCCCTTTGGGACACAATCAGGGCCCTCTCAGGCACCTGGAGGGACCTCTTCTCTAAGGCAAACAGGGGGTCACCTTGGATGATATGAGGGCTATTTCAGGCCACCAGGGGCCTTATTAGACCAATAAACGGCCATCTGAAGTATAAGAGGACCCTTCGAGGTTAAAAAAGGGCCCCTGGAGAAAAAAAAAACAGAGGACCCTATCAGGTACCTAGAGGGCCCTTGGGCACTAGAGGGCCCTTTGAAGCCAGTGATAGTCTTCAGAGGGCACCAGAGGGTCCCTCTGAGGGTAACAGAGGGGTCCTTGACGAACAGGGACCCCCCGTGAAAATGCAGTTGGTGTCACAAGGCCCGCATTGCATCAAAGATCAGGTACCTATGCCCAGTTTCAGCTCTCTGTTGCCGACGTGTTCCGAGGTGTCGCAAAAAAAATATGTGGTAGCACCCGCGCCCCCCTCGTTCGGTCAGGGCTCTTCTAACTCGGCTTCTGGGCCACGTACCAGCACGCCAAAAGTAACCTTCGAAAGAGCTTACCTAAACAATAATTACGAAATTACTCTGGTCACTTTTTAGATCAGGTCAAAGGTCAGGTCACAGAGGTCATCACAGGTCAAATTTCGCCAATTTTCAGGTCCAATTTAGACAATTTTCAACAAACCATCGCGGAACTCGGAAATGAATAGAGCTACAGTGCCTAGGAAAAGCATAGTTAATAGCACTTTTAACACCCGTTTCGCCATTCACATCTTCAGGTCATTCAAATCCTTCTGCTTCTACCCACGCCACAACCCCTGTTCCGGGCTGGACGGGTAACTATTCCATGCGGGCGGCTCCCATTGTAGCGCACCACAGCTCATGTGGGAGCACACCCGTAGCAGGGTGCATTGGGACTTTGGGGGCTGGTCGGCCTGTCCTGTTGGACGGGCTCAGCTCCGGTGAATCACTCAGGGATATAAATGGAGATCACAGGTGCCATATTCCACTTAATCGTGACATGGCTGCTCATATAACTGGGTGTTTAAGAGTGTTAAGAACAAAGCTCATGCAAGAGAGGTGCCTTTTAATTTTCTCCCATTAGCTTAATGGAGATTTCTCAAAACTGACCTGATCTCAGCTTAACACTATCAAAATTGAGATATGCATTTTAAAAGAGTTACTGTTGTCCTCATTGATTGCTGAAAGTTTTAAAAGCAATATAATTGACCCCCCACAGCAGGGCGCGGGTTCAGTAGTGCAGGAACCAGGGGGTAGCAGAGGCTGAGCACCTCCAACTTTTTGGCTGGGGGGGGGGGAGTGGCTCCGCTCGTAATGTATTTGAGCCCATCCAACTGGAGGAATCGAAATCGGAAATCTACAGGCGCATAGGCGCAGGAACCAGGGGGTAGTGGGGGCAGCTTGCCCCAGAACTATGGGACCATAAGGGCGGTGCACCACAACTTTTCATATGGCCAGGAACCGTTGTGGCAGCTTGTCCTCCAGAAATTAGGGGTTGTGGGTCACAAAGGAAGAAAGCATGTAATAATCCACCTCTTTCACTGGCTCTGCAACTCATTTGGCAGATAAAAACCTTTATTCCAGCCTCCAGGCTGCCAAAACAGTAGATTCTTCACTCAGCTGAGACGGAATACCTCACTTTTTTTCACAAATATTTTCGTTTTTTTCGTTAAAAAGGCCAAGATGTGAAAAATAAGTGACCTAAAACCAGTGAGAAAACTAGATTTTGGGGTACCCTAGGTTGATCTCTATTATGGTACATCCCCCCTGCCCCAGCCCGGATTCTGGAACAAGTTCATGCAGCGCACTGCGCAGCTAGCACCCTTTCAACTCAGACACTTAAGGCCCTTTCAACGCAGTCAATCAAGGGCCCTTTTGACTGCGCCCCCCCTCCCTCGAAGAAATCCTAGATTGAGATACGCCAGTGGACACTGATAGGTACTTACCCATTGTTTCTTGCTGCTTCTCTTGCAAAAATAATGTTAAAATAGCCCTTCTCAATTCGAAAAAAACAAACTTATTGAAGAAATGATCCTGGAGATCACGGAGAAACCACAACAAATTGAAATACAAGGCACGCAGGGCAGCAGCGACCGTTACACACAAATCGGCAAAGAACGCTAACTCGCAGAAAGAGGTGCACTGCTAATGAATGCCGAAGCCAATCCCACGCCGTAAATGGCGTTAATTGTGTACCAACTGGTACCTGATGGTCATTATCTAATACAACTAAAATAACGGTAGTGAAGATGCCTTAATGATGAAAAAAGTCACCTATAGATATATTACTTATATTTTTAACCACAATAACAACTCTATCAAGCGTAACTTCCGCGCTACAATTTCCTCACCACCTCGAGGAAAGTGCTGCCAGTTTCCTCCACGGGCAGAGGAAGATAGCCCGTTGTCTTCCTCCACAGGCAGAGGAAAATCTCTAGTGGGTATGTTGGGCTGGCCGGTGACGACCACCACAACACATGTTAGAAAAAATAAAACCTGCTTGTTCGTGGAGCAACTTCATCTTTGTTGCAATCCCTCTCCCGATTTTTGATTTGTGTAGATATTTGACTAAAACCAATCGTTCGCTACAAATACGTGTTTTGAACATAACATTGTGCGGCTTTTTTGGCGCTTACTTTGGTATAGTTTTAAATTGTATTGATTTTATTGACGTCATTAGATAAGCTAAATTGAATTTGTAAAATGCCATTTTATTTTCTGAAAATCAACTATTCTTATTTGATTTTCTTTCTTAACAAGACAAATTTAGGCACTTCAAACAAGTTGAGAAAGAAACTGATGATAAATAGTTTGCTCAGTTTTTGTTTGATATGATTTCTTGCTATATGAGCTTTGGTATGTTGATGTCATTGAAACAGCAAATTATTTAAATCAGTTATGACATAATAATTTGATGTTTCCCTAGCGAGTAGCGATGCCTTCATAGGATGCCTTGCACACCACAGACAACGCCGAGTTGTGATTGGTCTGTGCGCGAGCTGCTTGGCCAGTCCCGCCAGTCCTATATCGTTTGCGCCCAACATTGCAATTGACAGATTGTAATGATGATTTTGGCTGTGCACACTTGATAGTTATACGACCTTATCACCCATATTACAGAAGTTGGAGGGAAGCGCCCAAGTCCGCCACGACTTCAGTGGAACTTTGAAGTCTGGGTAGGTAAGTCAAAACTCAAAGGTTGAGCTGGTGTCCGGACAAAATTTCGTGTGCCAATTTTTTTTTTGTCTGGCAGTTTTTTGTTTGCATATTTTTGTCTGACTATTGAATGAAAACCACCAGTCCATCCGCGCCACTGTATACGGCATACGCTCACATACGCTCTCCACTCCCTCTGAATGCCTTGATCCCCCAGACGTCATCCATCCTTTCTCATAGCATAGGTGGTAGTGTGCTAGACTGGAAAAAATACACGTTATGCCTGAATATGTCCGGCGTAGTGGCGGAATTGCGCCGAAAGTTTCAGCGCACGTCCGGCGTAACTTCGCATGCGCCAAATTCAGCGCATGGCGGCGGATGAATTTTTCGGCGCAGGGCTGTCGCATAATTTTTTTGGCGAAAGACGGTCACCGAATTTATGCGGTACGCTGGTCAATCTAGCAGCAGATTCGCCCCGCGGGCAGCTCTGAAGAGGTTGCGGGTATGAGTCCCCGCCCCGTCCGTCCCCGCCCCGGTCGTCGCGTGGTCGAAGTGGCGAGCCGCCCTGAGTCTATTCAGCGGAGGCCGGAGGAACGGCCGCCCAGGTGAGGCCTCAACCTTCGGCATAGAGATAGGTATGGAAAACCTTGTTGAACGTCGCCAAGCGTCGTTAAGCAATAGCAGTGGGTTCCTGCCCACTGCAGTATCGAGGGGAATGAGAGCGCGGACGACCTGGCAAAACAGGCAGCCGCCCTGCCCTCAAACGCCTGATCGCTGACCAGGGCGGTTCATTGTGCGGCCTCTCATCAGGCCTCGCGACAACTGCTCAGAATCACTATCAAGCCACTTCTCGGGAGCACGCCGCCGCTCCCTATCCCCGGAGAGGACCGAGAGGATGCCATTTCGGTGCACCATATGAGGGCGGGCCACCGGGGCCGCTCGCTCCAGTACGGCAGCGAATCGGCTGTCTCCACTCCGCCGCGTGCCAGCAGTGCCCAGACAAGCGGTGCCCAGCGGCGCTTTGCACCGTGAGCCGAGAAGAGGCTGATGTGCCGGAGCACGTGCTGCTCCGCTGCCCAGCACGGCCCTCGCTGGCTCCCGCCGAGGAATTGGGTTTACGTGGAAATAAAAAGCTCATTCGGACGCTCAAACATGGGAGAGCGTACAAGGCCCCGAAACACTCTGTCTGGTTGATATAGCCTTGATCAGTAGATGTGCACATGTGCTTTATATGAAAAGGGCTTAATTTTCGCACAAATCACAGTGTATATAAATACACTGTATTAAGTACTGTACATAAGTATTACAAATAGGCACCTAATTTTTGGCGCAAATCACGCAGAAATTTCGGAATCACGCAGAAATCGCCGAATTTCGGCGCAAAAGGGTCTCACGGGCGTCCGGCGTAGTGTATGGATGTTTTCAAGTCTGGGTAGTGTGTCCGATTGTTTGTGGCAAGAGGTCAGGTTTCAGTGTTCTGGTGCTGGATATATGGAGAATTGGAGAACCACTTGATCTGTGGTCGAAGGAAGCAGCCACGGCCCTAGAAATCAGTGAGTGGGTGCGACCATTTCCAACATAGAGCGTGAAGGTCGTGGGCCGTGCGCAACAAGCACTGAGTACTGAGTAGCGCGTAGCAGTTGCTCTGGCTCTGTCAGTCTGTCCATTCGAATAGTTCATTTTTATACAGAATAAAATGAAAGATATTTCTGACTAGCTACGATCGTCGGAAGGTCACCATCTGTCAGGTATTTCTCAGGCTTATCAGAGATGGGATCCAGTGTCAGCAAGGCAGACCGGTGTATAACGGGAAGTGTGCGCCGTCGCTGCACGCGCTGCAGCCCGCAGTCGCTGTCAGCGGAAACCATATTCTGTCCTCAAGAGAGTACCAGTACTGGCATGTGGCGAGCGTCCCGCCGGCCGCGCACTCAGTCGACCTTGTCCTGGGCTATTCAAAGGTGGCTGGCGTTGGCAGGCTGCGATAACTCATTGCTATAAACCGTTGTCAGGTGGATAACCAGAAACATCGCGCGAAAATTGGGCCCGGATATTTGGTTACATCTCATAAGGTCATTAAATAAATCGGATTTAGCAATGCGATTTTTCTCGTCGCATTCGATGCCTTACAACATGGTCGATGTTTTTCGGCTGATCGCAGTCATTGGATAAAATCACCGTAGGTGGATGCCCCGCTCGTGCCATGGGCCGCGTCTGCCGCCGCCCATAGCCTCTCCTCTGCTTTGCTCTGCGTCACCCGATCGATCCTAATCTGGCACTCCCCAGAGTGGGTCTCTGCGCGGACCGACCCCGGGGACCGGGCCGGAACTGGCGCCGACGGGGCCGGCGGCCGTGACCGGCCGGGGACACGCTCGGGTGACTCAGAGTCGCGGATCAGAGTGGCGTCTCTGAGTCCGAGTCACGTCGCCAACTGCTGAACTCTGCATAAGAGTAGTCACATCGTCGGCCCCTGGACTCTGTGGTCATTGAGTCGCATTGCCGGCTTCTGGACTCTGTAGTTATTGGAGTCACATCTGTGGCTGCTGGAGTCTATACTAGAGTTACATCAGTGGCCGTTGGAGTGTATCTGAGTCACCTCGCCCGCCGCTGGACTCTGCTGGTGTGTGGCGCTGGAGCCGTCCAGTCTCGGGTCGATTGATGGGACAGAAATGACGCCGACACCGCGAATTTGGCTGCCGAAGACAGCCTCGGTCGTGGGGGTCAGCGCTCTCTCAATATATCCAGGGGCCCAGCGTCACCGCGGGCTGATGGTGGCGACAGAAGTGGCGCAGTTAGCGGCCGGCTGACGACACGCCGGAAATTTGCCGCCCCGGAACTGGGGTAATGAGGAGAGTGCCAGGTGTGCTGAATGGGCTGTGCCCAAAGGTTCATGGTGTAATTATGCAGGCATGCGGAGGGTCAATGGTTCAGGTGGGTTGATTTCGCTTTGAACTCCAAGAACCGGGTTTCCGCACCATTGAGATGACTTGCAAGTAATCTTGGTGATCGTTCCTATATTTTTTATTGGTCATAAAAAGAAAGCAGCCCAGCTTCATTTTTCGCATAAAATCTCATTTTCCCTTCAAAATTTGAGTTGGCCACAGTCACCGTCTTTCTTCGGGGCAATTTTTGACCGGTTGTGACAAGGCTCAAAACAACTACCAACCACGTCACTGAGGACATTCCTCGCTGCCCACGTTTATAACCGCGGACATCCGGCGCTGTTGTATCGCTCTGAGCGTGCCGTGTAACCCGGTACCAGCTCCAGTGATGGGTCAGCGGACGGTGCCTCCGTTCACTGGCGTCGTCTTTCGCCCGGTCAGCTTTGGAGTGGCGCCAACACCGACCGGTCGACCGCGGCCCGTCTCATCTCATCAGTGGTGGAAGGGTGCCGCCGCTAGGGCACTCGGAAAACAAACGAGACTCTTCAGTCATTTAAATCGTGATGCGGCTTTGAGGCTTACGTCGTTTGGTGAAGTCTCACCTTGCACTGTGACTTTTTCGCTGTTTTCCATGGTTAAATGTCGCAGTTTTTTTTAAGTTTGTTGTTCGTTCACATTTTGCCATACGCATGGTCGGAATGTGAAGAGTTTTTTTATAGTTTCGTCTCATCATTATGACATGCTGATGTAACACGAAGTGTGAATAAGCTGTTTTTAGTCGAGTAGCCTTCTTTTTGTTCAGTCATTCACCTTTATCGCTTGCGTCATAGCGTACTCATTTGGGTGTAGACCAAACACAAGTAGGTAACGGTCATGAAAATGACCGAAATATCTTCTGCCGTAGTCCGTAGTCCTTCCTACTACTACTACTGCTATATCCCCCTCCCCTCCCCAGCTCCTCTCTTCGTCCCGAGGAAGTTTGGTCATTTGGGACCGGCGCCGATCTTACTATGCGTGTGGATCCCTGGAACGGGGGGTATGGGTATGGGTGGAGTGGGGGTCGTTCATCGACGCTGACGTTTATTTACCGGCCGGTCTGGCCCAGAGCCAGTTCCGGGTGGAGGCGGCTATCGTTGACGCAATTCACTACAGACATACGGCTGGGTATAACTGGTTTATACAGCCTAACGCGTCTGTATCGTTTGAATGACCCTGCAATTGCTGAAACGAAGTCTGAGACCATTAATCATTCTTAGTTCCAGACAGGCTAAGGTTTCAGCAAGGCTAAGTCTGGTTCGATATTCGACTGATTGGCGAATTTTACCGACTTGTGCGACAAAATGCGGTAGGAAGCCAGCGAACCGGTGCCCGCGCACACTGCCGCAGAAACTGTCCCTGACATTTCAGCGACATCGCGATTATGGAGCGCCGCATTGTCGGACGATCGGATGGCCGGCCTTGGTGACCTTGAGTCAGTTCCTAGTCAGACCCGTTCCTTGTCAGTGGTGACCTGGTTTTGTTGAAAATCGTGCTTCGATGATTTACCCTGGAGTTATTTTTTGTTGCTGTGCGATCACAAGCATGGTGCTGGTTAGGTACATATCGACACCTTTTTTTAAATCCCACATTTATTCTCCGGTGAATTTCAGACAAGTTGGTTAGAGACCTTCAAAAAAGGTACAATCACTCGATTTTTCTCAAGTTTTTTCTGTCTTGGCAGATAAAGCAATACCAGAACAGGCCTACGAAAACACATATTTGATCAGGATCGGACGATTGGACACTTTTAAAAGGAGATCTTTCGTGCCTCCCGGAAATTCACGGGAGAGTAGATGTGGGGCTTAAAAAAAAAGGTGTCGATATAAGGGAGTTAGTTTGTGAGCTGTAGCATGTGCACCTCAGATGGATGGTGCGATGTTCAATTTTTATCAGAGATTGACCCTTCGATTGCGGTCTTTATAGTACCACTGCATTTTATGGTCGCGACGCTAACCCATTTTAATGGGAGTGCCTCGTCACCCGGAACTTTAATAGATATCTGATTTATGCACTGACCTAGGCTGCGAATAGCTGAAAGGAATAAAACGCCGTGTGCGTAATAACAGGTTCGTGCTTTGACCTCTTCGATTTTAACCTAATTCCATGCTCACGCACTTTCCGTCAACCTTCAGCAATCAACACAATGACAATGCCTGTTGACACACTTTCAATCAACCTTTTTTTTTCTCAAAATACCCTGATCTTGTCCTTGTCCGTTCTCCACCCGTCCCTCCAAATACCTTGTCCTTGTTCGGTCCCCATTCATCCCTCGCAACTCCCGGTCCTCAGCTCCCGGCCGTCGGCCTATCGCTCTGCGTCGCGGGTCGACGTTATTGCACCGGCGATGGCCGCGGCAGCTGCTCGGGAGCAGCGGCACAGATGGTCGGGGGCGGCAAGTGACTGCGTAGCTGCCACAGTGGTGGCGACTCGGTACAATGGTGGTGGCTCGCTGGTGTCGGAAACCATGGATATTTGTATGTCATGTAGTGTTGGAGCGAAGTATTTACATGTGTTTTCTGTTTGTTTCAGATAACTCAACGATGATCTGGATTTGAAGCTAGAGTGAAGCTGAGCAAAGCAAAACTCATCTTGGCCTGATAGTTATCTTACCAACACTGCTATCAATTTTGTCACGGCCTAGCCCGACCGCTTGGTCTCTTCTGGCCCACCGTCCGCCGGCTGAGTGGTCATCATGCCGGCGCTGTGGCTGGACCGTCTGCCGCTGCCCAACCTGCCGGCCTACACCGCCATCAGCGTCACACTGCTGCTCTGCTCCGTCTACTTCGCCGTCACCACCCAGGATCGCTTCGAGAGCGACGCCGTGTCCCGGCTGACGTTCGCCGAGGCGCTGCAGAGACGCTGTCTGCTACCACCTCCGGTGAATGAGTCGGCACACGATCAGCGCACACGACTGACCGACTACTTCGTTCTACTGGCGACGTACCCGACCCAGCGCGCGCTGCTACATGAGTTCCTCCGGCACAAACTCCGCTCGGATTTTCTGTACTGGCCGACGGTCGCCACCGATTGGGGAGAATATGGAGAGCGGGCGCCCGAATCGACCGCTAGCTCGAGTGTGTTCTTCGCGCCCACGATCTACTACAGGGATCCGGGAGCTTGGACGGCCGCGCTGCCGGAGCCCGGCATTCAGGCCAACCTGGTCAAAACGCTGGCCTTCATGATCCACGAGCCGCTCTGCCTGTGGGTGAGTGCGGTGGAGTTAGGGCGGTGGTGAGGGAAGCACGGTGGTGAGATTTAGCATTTCATAAATACTTTGAAAGCATCTTGAGTTGAAGACTGATTGATGTTGTCGAGGTGATCAATAATAATCATAAATCGTGTTGACGATGATGCTTTTACCCTTTCCAAATCATAAAAAGTATAAGAAGCGACGTTCGGTGATCAATCTCTGCATTTGTCCCAAACCAATCTGCGGCCCCGTTACTCGGTCTGACCGTTATCGTTTCTTGCTGCCATTTCAGACCCTGATCAACATGGCCTACTGTCTGCTGGTTCTGCTGGGAAAATCCATCCAGCAGAGCATGTTCGGTGAGCTGCGGGTTTCCGAGCAGACCCAGCTCAAGGACAAGTTCTGGAACTTTGTCTTCTACAAGTTCATCTTTGTGTTCGGTGTCATCAACGTTCAGCACATGGATGAGGTGGGTTTTCAGTAGAGAAGCTTGCTCTAGATCGTGTAGATTGATGGTCCTGGCGCAGAGTGATGAGTGGGATATTCATGGAGCTTTATGATTTTGAAGGCACCCAAGCGTCGCGCTATAGATGAGGCCATCTTAAAAAGCACGATGTCATGATTTGGTTGTCACAAATAGTCGAACTACGATTGCTACTATTCCTTTGTTAAATGCGAGCTCAGAGCCAGCCGATGAGCTGCTCTTAGCTCAACACCCTCTCTCGTCAGTGGATTCGCGCCGCGGTCTGTCGAATGACCCTTCAGCGGCCGTGACGTCACATCGTTAATCCTCCCCCTCTCTCTATCCGACCGCCGAGCCTCTGCCCTCTGAGAGGATTATATAAATCCCATTAAAGGTCTTCGTTATTCATAGCTGGTGCCTTGATGTCTGGAATCTCATTCTCCCGTCGGACACAGCTTAGGCGGTGAATTCTTCTGAAAGGGAAGTCCCTCCAGTAATAGGATTTGTCTGCAGAGTGAAGAGCTTTGTCGCACGCAGTCTTCAGGGATTGACCGTGACTGTGGAGTTCTGAGTTCAATTCTGGTGTCCTTTCTGGGGCTTGGCAACTAGTTTTTGTTCAGACAATGGTACACGGAAATCATGCATTACGTTTTGTAACTTACATCATGTCCTGCATTATGTAACCTTCTGTTACATATTCAGTTTGCGAGTCTTTTGTGAAGTTGTAATCATATCTAACGCGGAAGGGATTAAAACGTGGGATTAAACATTATGGCGAAATAACTTTTCATCCCACATACATATGTGATAGACCCGCGCGAATTTGTTACCCTACCTATTTGAGCAAGTAAAGAAATATATAAATGTAGTCCGAAAGGCGCCGCAGCGTTGTTATAATAAACAGCGTGTTTCCGAATGACTATGATTGTTTATCAAGGGAGCTATGGATGATCGCTGCCTCCCCTTCTCCGTTTTTCCTCCCCTTCTCCGTTTTTCCTCCCCTCCACGTCGTTCATAGCGTCAGTCAGACTCGCCCGCCACCGAACCCCAACAATATCTGTCAGCCATCCCGGCCCGAAGCCTGTCTCAGACGGCTGCCGGCCAACTGTCCGTCCCCTGGAATCCCGTGTCCCCTGTGTCCGGTCACCGCTCTGTCTCCGGAGGGTGCTAACCTGCTCAGACAGTCTGCTGAGCCAGTCTGCTGACTGGTGGGCCGGCCGGGCGGCTGTGGGGTGGCATGGAAAATACAACACTGTGACCGATAGGGGACCGGGGCCTGACAGATCGTGAGATCTGTTTTATTTAACCCTGTCATATATTTATAGGTGTGCTGCGCAAGATGAACGTCGCATGGGAATCATTAAAGGTAGTGTGCCAGCTTTCTTGGACCGTATGGAGTTAATGGCCCAGATAAGGAGAACCGGATTTTTAGAACTTATCCATACCTTCAAAAACTCATGGAAACGTCTTAAATTCTTCAAATTTTGAGTACCCCAGTGCGAAATTCGCCCCGACGGGTTGTCGGTCGTACCCCAACCACATTTCACACCACTATGAACAATAAATGCACACACTGAAATCGCTATTACCGATATGCTCATCCAATCAAGTTTCGATAAACCCGTTCATCATCATCTCCTGCGGTTTCGAACACGCCTGTTAGGTGGCTTCTGATGCTCGTCGAGGTCGGAATTTCCAAATACGCGTGGTGCGTCGGGCCGCGCGCTCTGACTTCGGCCAAGAAAAATGCGTCAGCTGATCATTGTCATTTCTGCCACTTGCGTGTGGTGAAATGGGGTCATAACTTATAAGACGGCTTTTTCATATCAATTATTTTACATAAAATCATATTTCAAACCATAAATAATGTTCGACAGCCAAATAAAAGAAACAATACCAATACGGGCTTACAGTTTAAGGCTCGACATTGTGTTGTCTACGATTAGACAGCTGATAACTCATTCCCGTACGTCGTATGGTCGTAACACTATAATGACCTTTGCTTATTGTCACAAGTGCGCCGCATTCGCGATTGTTGCCCGACGCCTGTTTGCAGGTGAGCCCACTACAGTTGTTATACATATCTAAAAACCGATAAACTTTTAGGCGAAAAAGGCACTATTCCAGGCCCATTTTTGATTTTTTTTGCGATATTAGGTAAAAACAGAAGCTTCTTATCCTAGGAAAAATAAAATGGGAAATCTTTCAAAGGTGGCACACTACCTTTAAATGATTCTCATGCGACGATAGTGGTGGCGTATCATGCTTAAAAGCTGGCTCGCATGAGACTGATTCAAAGCCTTAACTGCCATGGCGATACTCGGTACATCACTATGCGATGGCGATATTTACGATACAACACGATTGGATGGGCTACCGTGATATTGTGTCTGCTAATTTTATCGTCAATTTTCTTTATGTTCACTCCTCTCACTCCCCTTGCCTCCGTGTTTTCAGGTGGTGCTGTGGTGCTCGTGGTTTTCGGCGCTGGGCTTCCTGCACCTCCTCACTCAGCTGTGTCGGGATCGGTTTGAATACGTGAGTGGCTGACGGACAGGGGGTGGGAGCGGCACCCCGGTACGGAGCGGCTGTCAGACCGGTTATACTGGCACGTGGGGGTCGGGTGCTGCAGCCTACGCCGGTTCCGAGGAGCACCAGCCTGCAAGTTGGAACGTAAACAAACTGAATCCAATATTGTTTAAGTTTTCTGTAATATCGCACGGCGTTTCTCACGCTGAGGGATAATTTCAGTAAGGCGTGTCGGCGAGACTGTACCCCGGGATCCGGGTCAGCCGACGGCCGCCGGCTCAACGCCCACCACTGTTTGCCCGTGACCTCTGACCTTGGACGGCTGGGACGGCCGCCCCTCCCCCTCCCTCCCCTCCCCTCCCCTCCTCTGCCCGGTGGGATGGGCTCACCTAATGACCCCTCGTGCGACCCCGCCTGAACGGAGCCAGCATGCGACAACAGCAACAATAGGCACCCACTGTGTGAGGCCGGCCACCCTTGGACTCGGTGTGGTAGGACTGAACGATACTGTTTGGTTGGGTTTTACGACGGCATAACAATTGTGGCTCCGGTGTAAGTACACATTGTGTTGAGGGGTGGGTTGATCGGAGATCTTGTGTCTGAGGCGCCCTATAACTCGCGTGATTCGACCGTCGCTCCTGCTCTTATGTGCCGGAATATCGTCACTTTCGCCTGGCTGAACATTGGACGCCCTGTTGCCCGTGCCCCGTCTGAGTATTCCCAATATCTGATCCCCCTCCCAACCCGCCTGACCCCCCCCTCCCCCAGCTTGTCTGACCCCCCCCCCTCTGCCGACAGCTGTCGCTCTCGGCGAGCACCCCCCGTCGCACCCACGGCCGGCTGCTCTGTCTGCTCTCGGCCATTCTGGCGCTCTCTCTGGCGCTGCTCGTCATCTGCGTGTATGTCGGACTGGTGGCCAGTCTCAACACGTTCGCCTTCATGGCTGCAGAGGTGGGTGATGTGCCGAGTCACGTGCGATGTCTGTCCCTCGGTGTCAAGATAACTTTACTACTCCTCGGTGGTGGCAGTGAATTTTCTTCAGATGGGATCCTACAATACTGAGGCACATGAGGGATATGGGTGCATACGGCACGCGAGATTCGGGATCTGGGGTTTGACGGGTTTGACGGCAATGTCGTAGATCTCGGATTATGATGCTGCTGAATTTCATTGCTACAATCTTTATTTGGTATCCCATTATACATTTCATTATCAAAATATGCCGTTGGCGGGCAGTTATCAATCATGCTGGCTATCCAATAGGTTATGTTCTGAACGGATCTAACAGATCCCAGCCCCTTCCCGGCAGGTGTCGATGTTTTGCGCAGTTTCTTAGCTATTGACGTGCAGCGTCATGGCGTTATATGCGGTTTGTTGGGCTAGCAGAATATTAACCGATTCGCGTCACAGCCCCGGCGCTAATTTCTGCATGTCGATGGTGTTAGTTTGCGAAATGAACCGGCCTCTAGATATCGAGCCGATGTCGGCTAAAGGTCATGGACGCTGCGCAATTACGCGGCTATGATGCTAATAACCGCCAGCTCGTCATTAACCGCTATTAGACCGGTGGCATCGTATACAACAGGCGGTAGCGGATATACTGTATGAATTATACATGCGGAATATTGGGTGCCTTAGGATATCATTGTAGGCGCCTCTGGTGATTTACACCTAAAAGGTTCACGGCACTACGCCGATCACCTTGTGGCGCCCTTAATCTATGATTCATTACCTTTTATTGCCGGTGTTTTGACGCGTCAGACTCACACCATGTTGTTTCCTTTAGGAGCCCCGCTCCAGCTGTGCGCAGTAGGTTTTATTCATGGCGGTAGAGGCGGCGGAATCCGTATGGGACCGAGCTTTCTCAGTGCGTCAGCAGGCAGTCAATACGTTGTCCAGCGCCGATGGTCGGGCGGGGCGGCGCCTTCGATTTCCTGGGCATTGTGTTTTTTGTCGCGTGGCATGCTGTGATCGCGTGCCAATCAGGCTAGATGCGCGGCAGGCGGGACGGAAGAGAGAGGAAGGAGGGGCGGGTAGAGGGTTGGAGAGGGTCAAGTGATGTGGTAAATGTAGGATGTAGATATTAGAAGTCTCGGGAGAGAGCTACCCACGTATAAAAGATGTATTCACCCGGCATATTGGTGGTAGGTGAGGTAGTGGAGGGCTTCTTTGGTGCTTGATAACGGACCGCTCGCGTCGGTGATCCTCTTATTTGTTTAGCATTCCACTTTGTGACAGCGGATTGCAGTTGGACGACATATCTTCCCGCAGCAGTTTTGTTCCCCGAACTTGTTTATCAAATCGACTCGTGTCAGCAGTCAGCCACGGTTGAGATGCATTTTGCTGTCTTGGCGCAAAAGCCATACTTCGCTGACATATTTTTCCGTTGTAGGACGAGTTTTGCTGGAGTTAGTCGGACTGCTAAATAATTGACTTTTTCCAACGAACGTCCCTGTGGCGTGCGACCGTCTTGTTTTTGGTGTAGTCGCCTCTGTAACAGGCCACTGTCACGCACAGACGCCTTGCACCGATCGCACTTTTCCGCGCTGGCTGCAGCTGCGGCGGCCCGTCGTCAGCACGCGGGTCGCCACCCACACACCAGTGTGAGGGTGCTCTGTAACTCAGCCCCGGGCTAGTCACGCTTGCGTGGCGTGTCGTAATGCAACTCAGGCCCGATATGGCCACAGTACTGCGCGTCGGCCTAAACGGAAAGTCAGCTGTGTTTACTGAACGAAGTGGAAGCGATTGGCGATATGACACGACTTCGATAATGTGCGATGTAGGGCTTCTGCCAGCGTTGTATACCATCCTCAAGGGTTGAGTTGCCTTCGTTCTTTGTTTATGACTCTGGGGTGTTACGCCGTCCATATAAACATGCCTGCTAGTGTCTGGCTGCCTAGACAGACGGCTTATATCACAGTTGTTAGGCCAGCCGGCTGCTTTTTTACACCAAACATTTCTTACGACATAGAAACAGATTTATGTGGTGAATCACGGCATGCCTTGATTTGCCTGACATTCCTGGCCAGTAACTATGCCAGCGCTTTGCTTTAGTTGCAATCATTTCAACCAATCGTTGTTGCTGACATCCTGTCCTATATTTCAGTGTGCCATTGCTGACTTGTTTTCCCGCCGCTGTTTTAGCGTGTGCAGACTGCTGACGATGCCCTGTTATGTGTCACTGCTGACCTTCTGTGTCTTATTTCAGTGTGTGCTGCAATTGAACTGTCGCTGGTTCGGTGAACATCGCTGCTGGGATCCTGTGTACCATTTTTGACCTGTTTCCCGTCTACTATTTCAGTATGTGTTGCTGTTAACCTTCTGTCTGCTGCTACATATGTGCGGTTGATGATCTGTTGTGTGTTGTAACTGTCGACACCCCGTCTCCTGTTTCAGTGCGTGCTGCTGCTGATCCGTACGTTCCACACAATGATCCGGTACGCCATCCACCTGTATGACGTGGCGCAGACGGCCCAGTGGGAGCGCAAAGGTGAGACCAGGATCCAGCTGTGGTGTCCGGGGGTCCATCAGTATCCACTATCCATTGGATCTACCCATCCAGTATCCATCCGGGGACCCATTGGTGCTGGGATCCCGAGTCCCTTGGTTTCCGGGATCCAGCGATATCCTGGATCGGGGAATATAACCAGTTCCGGGGCGCAAGAGTATTCAATGTTCAAAGGTACCTATCCGATTCTGAATCGGATCCTGAGTCCAGCTGTGCCCGGAGTTGCGTCGTACAGCCGTTTCCGTTGTTCCTGGATCAAGTAGTACATATTGCGGTGACCAGTGGTCGTGCAGTACAACAGCGTGCAGTTGGACGCATTACCTGATTGGTTGTGTGCGAACTTGTCCCGCTGATTGGTGCTTGGTTCGGGCAGAGACAATCGGGGCAGTGTGCCCAAGGCAGCGTTACCGGGGATTGGTTTGGCTCTGGATGGTGGCACCGGGTGCTCTTCGTAATGAATTTCCGGGGACAGAAGGAGCAGCTTTGCGCAGGATAGATGTACACTGTACAGTAGTGGATGATACGTCGCTTGGTTGTCACGCGATAGTTTGGCTTGGAATCACTCTGGCAGCAGTAGGAGTACTCAGGATGAATACTGCAACAAAAAATGAAGTATAGGTGTTTTGAAAGATCGTATACTATACACTACGTTCTTGCTCATTGCTCTGTTTTAGCTATCAATGCAGGCCTAAAAAGTTTAAATTATTCTTACTTAACACGACCATACTGTCTATTGACCATTCATGTTGGTAACGTCAAGCATAAGCGACAAAAGTTCGTACGTGGTCCTTCTTATTCGCGCATATGTTTTGGATCACACAGAAAAAAAATGTTATCGCTTCATGTAAACATTCTGACCTCGAATAGTTTTTTATGAAGCTGGCCAACTGGTCATGACTGGTACTGAGTTAAATATTTAGAACTCTGGGCATGGCCGCGTGGCAGCACGGTCAGGACTAGGAAAATGCCCCAATCACCCACCAATAAATCATGACAGGCGACCGGTGGCCCGCGATATTCGTGATTCGGTGATGGCCGATTCAGCAGTCTCGTGCCTTTTCCCAATCCCTAAAACTACCCTCTTTTTTCTTCTAGTGGCTAAATCAACTTCACCTCCTCTGCCAACTGCTTCAGATTTCATGATACCCATTACATTGCAAGGGTATTTCCTGTTAAGCACTATCTGAATTCATCCCCTAGGCTGCGCAGTGTCTCATATCGCCTCGCAAGCAGCACAGATTTGTGACGAATTGCGGTGACATGCCCGGTCCGCGTGCTTCTCACATCGATCGCCATTGCTACGGTGCCTACCCTACTCCCGTGTATGTAACCGATAGCGTCCCGTGGCTCTAACTCCCCCCCCCCATCCGGGCCACTCCCTATCCGGACCACTCCTCACACTCTGGTGTGAACTCACCTATTGCGCCGTCACTCTACCTGGCTAGGGGGGCCGGAGAGGGGGGTGACCTGACCGATCCTGGCTCCGTCACACACCACTATCAGACTATGCAAACGGCCGCCGCAAACCGCGGAGTGATAGCCAGCGGCAGGCGGGCAGGCCTTTATTACAGGGGAGGGGAATCGGGCCGGCCGACGGAATTGGCTAGTGTGTGGGTAAAACGCTCAGGCGCTGTGTTATGATTCATAACACTGCGGGAGCACGGCATAACTTCACAGCCCATGAAATGGAGAAAGCTGGTGAATTCTTATCTGCGGATAAAATTACGGGAAATTGTATTGGCTACACAGTGATGGCTAGCTTGTGTTGCGGCTACCATATGTTTAATTTTTATGTATTTATATTCTTATTCAACCGCGCCTTGGTTCAGTGTTATACGATCTGTTTGGGTTCGTTTTCAGGGCTCTTGCTCCTGCAACGACACGCAGATTTCCACAGAGCAAAACGAATACATTGAAGGTCTCCGAGCCTCTTTCTAGCGTTACCATATACACACACACGCGGCCTTCCTTTCCGTTAGCATAAACAGCCGCTGCTACCAGCCTCTGTACGCTGTCGTGTCCTAAGCATCCCGTAATGCTGTATACCGGGCGCGGGCGGACCGCAGTGCTGGCGCTGGGCCGGGACCGGGAACCGGCCACCAGACCGGAGCCCCGTGGTCCCACCGTGGCATGACATGTCTCAAAGGTCACACCCCACGCCATCGCGTCGCATTGCGCCATGCGGTAGGCATACCGCATGCCACCGTGGGGTGTTGTGAGGGTTACTACGGCAAATAGCGTCGAGGTGTTATGCTGAAATTGTGTTAGGAATGGTGCTGCACAGTGTTTTGATATGCATTCCAGGTTGGAGGTGTCATAAATTCAACCGTACCTGGGTGTGGCGGTCTAAAAGCTCTTTACTGCAGAGACGGTTGCACAGAATAAATACGCATTGCCATAATAAATGCACACATCACAATATGACAGCGTAGTGAGACGGTTTTATGTCCCTAAAAAAACTGCGGGTGTGTTTGGGTGTGGTGTGGGTAATGGCGCGCGGTGCTCTGTGGTGTGAAATGCAGGATTATGAGAGTAATACGGAATTACACGATGGTTTACACACGACTCATAATCGGACATGACCGCAGACCGAAAGACGAGAACTATGTATATCGGCTTGCATGGCTTGTCACCTTAAGTGGTAGTTCGCAGTGCTAGGCTTGGCGCGTGATAGTGTTATTTGCGGGTGTGGGTTGTTGATAAGGCAGGCGTGAATGTTTGTGCGACTGCCGTATCGATGTGTCTTAGACGGTGTGTCAAAGGGCTGGGGTACTGCAGATTGGGCGTATATCGCTGCCTTATTACTGTAGTGGTTCGTATGACATTTATAAATGACCGTGAAGGTGCGTGATGGGTGGGACATTAGACAGTCATTCCATAATTTTTGTTACCACAGTTTATCATAAGGTGCTAAAATATCTACCCCACTTGGTATTGGCATTTGTGTCGCATGTTCTACCCGGAACCTGTGTGTGTGTACATTTATAGACTTACCACTCTCTCTGCGACAAGCTCACCATACACTCTTGGTTTTGCCTGACGTCGTTTCCGGTCCTGTCCGCCAGGGTCGCTGGTGTACCTGGCTGAACTGATGTTTGAGGTCACTGAGCTGGTCATCGACCTTCTCCACCACGTTCACATGCTGCTCTGGGGCAACATTATCCTCAGCATGGCCAGCCTGATCATCTGCATGGAGCTGCGGCACATCTTCTATCAGCTGCGACACCGACTGGCGCGGCACTCGCACTACCGACGCGTTGTCAGGTAGGTAGGGCGGGGCGGTACGGCGGACGCTGTCGCTACTGACTGTGGATGGGGTATGGGAGGTTCTTATCACCGTCTTCACAACACAATCCTGTAACCTGCCGCGTCTCCTCCCCTCAGATACATCGAGCTGGAGTGTGTGCAGGCCACGCCGGCCGACATTGACGGCGACCAGTGCGCCATCTGCTGGGACGCTATGGAGACCGCCCGGCGGCTCGACTGTAAACACTGCTTCCACGCGTGAGTGACACCGAGTTCGCTCGGCGTGGGTACTGGCTCTTTTACTTTGATTCGCCCATGTTTGGAATATGAAACGTTGCAAATTATGGTTCGTTCAGCTACGGTTGTAGGTTTACTGCTTCAGCCTTCGACTGGTCTGACAACGCTGACGTGCTTAGAATGACGTGCTCGTTTTTCAGTCGTATTCTATTCCACTACCTCGCACACAGCTCCTTGTACCGGCCGATAGAATACCCACACTCACCCCTGACCTCTGTCCTCCCTCCCTGCAGGACGTGTCTGCGCCGGTGGCTGGAGCAGGACCCGTCCTGTCCCACCTGCCGGAAGGGACTGGATCTGAGCGGGCAGACGGCCAGCGGACAGCCACGCGCTCAGCAGCATCACCGGCCGCACTGGCAGCAGCACAGAGGTATGAACTGTGTAGGACTCCTATGGTACTACCGGCCGCACTGGCAGCAGCACAGAGGTACGAACTGTGTAGGACTCCTATGGTACTACCGGCCGCACTGGCAGCAGCACAGAGGTACGGGTTTAGTGACAGGATTGTGTACTGTATAGGACTCTTACGGTTATACCACCGGCCGCACTGGCAGCAGCACAGAGGTACGGGTTTAGTGACAGGATTGTGTATTGTGTAGGACTCTTACGGTTATACCACCGGCCGCACTGGCAGCAGCACAGAGGTACGGGTTTAGTGACAGGATTGTGTACTGTATAGGACTCCTACGGTTATACCACCGGTCGCGCTGGCAGCAGCACAGAGGTACGGGTTTAGTGACAGGATTGTGTACTGTATAGGACTCCTACGGTTATACCACCGGCCGCACTGGCAGCAGCACAGAGGTACGGGTTTAGTGACAGGATTGTGTACTGTATAGGACTCTTGCGGTTATACCACCGGCCGCACTGGCAGCAGCACAGAGGTACGGGTTTAGTGACAGGATTGTGTACTGTATAGGACTCTTACGGTTATACCACCGGCCGCACTGGCAGCAGCACAGAGGTACGGTGTACAAGGGTACAGAACTTGCGGGGTACGACCATGTACCGTCACACTCACAGGTTCCATTGGCAGCAGCACAGAGGTACGGGTTTAGTGACAGGATTGTGTACTGTATAGGACTCCTACGATATACCACCGGTCGCGCTGGCAGCAGCACAGAGGTACGGGTTTAGTGACAGGATTGTGTATTGTGTAGGACTCTTACGGTTATACCACCGGCCGCACTGGCAGCAGCACAGAGGTACGGGTTTAGTGACAGGATTGTGTATTGTGTAGGACTCTTACGGTTATACCACCGGCCGCACTGGCAGCAGCACAGAGGTACGGGTTTAGTGACAGGATTGTGTATTGTGTAGGACTCTTACGGTTATACCACCGGCCGCACTGGCAGCAGCACAGAGGTACGGGTTTAGTGACAGGATTGTGTATTGTGTAGGACTCTTACGGTTATACCACCGGCCGCACTGGCAGCAGCACAGAGGTACGGGTTTAGTGACAGGATTGTGTATTGTGTAGGACTCTTACGGTTATACCACCGGCCGCACTGGCAGCAGCACAGAGGTACGGGTTTAGTGACAGGATTGTGTATTGTGTAGGACTCTTACGGTTATACCACCGACCGCACTGGCAGCAGCACAGAGGTACGGGTTTAGTGACAGGATTGTGTACTGTGTAGGACTCTTACGGTTATACCACCGGCCGCACTGGCAGCAGCACAGAGGTACGGGTTTAGTGACAGGATTGTGTATTGTGTAGGACTCTTACGGTTATACCACCGGCCGCACTGGCAGCAGCACAGAGGTACGGGTTTAGTGACAGGATTGTGTATTGTGTAGGACTCTTACGGTTATACCACCGGCCGCACTGGCAGCAGCACAGAGGTACGGGTTTAGTGACAGGATTGTGTATTGTGTAGGACTCTTACGGTTATACCACCGACCGCACTGGCAGCAGCACAGAGGTACGGGTTTAGTGACAGGATTGTGTACTGTATAGGACTCCTACGGTTATACCACCGGCCGCACTGGCAGCAGCACAGAGGTACGGGTTTAGTGACAGGATTGTGTACTGTATAGGACTCCTACGGTTATACCACCGGCCGCGCTGGCAGCAGCACAGAGGTACGGGTTTAGTGACAGGATTGTGTACTGTATAGGACTCCTACGGTTATACCACCGGCCGCGCTGGCAGCAGCACAGAGGTACGGGTTTAGTGACAGGATTGTGTACTGTATAGGACTCCTACGATATACCACCGGCCGCGCTGGCAGCAGCACAGAGGTACGGGTTTAGTGACAGGATTGTGTACTGTATAGGACTCCTACGGTTATACCACCGGCCGCGCTGGCAGCAGCACAGAGGTACGGGTTTAGTGACAGGATTGTGTACTGTATAGGACTCCTACGATATACCACCGGCCGCGCTGGCAGCAGCACAGAGGTACGGGTTTAGTGACAGGATTGTGTACTGTATAGGACTCTTACGGTTATACCACCGGCCGCACTGGCAGCAGCACAGGAGGTATGGTAGATTAAAGCAGAGTTACCTTTCATGCGCTAAGGGCTCTTAGTGCTCTAATCAGACGCGGTCAGTATTCAGCGTAAAACTACTGAATCAGTATGACTGATGTTTTCGCTGCGCCTGGTATACCCGCTGTCTGTGACATCAAATCTAAGTATCCAGTCTAGTCAGGTGACTCAACGCAGCCGTTGTCTCCGCTAACTGTCGTCTCCGCTGTTCTATGTGCAGGTCGTTTCGTGTCGTTCCTGCCCAGTTTCTCAGTAGAGGTGAACCACACGCAGCTACTGCGCGCCAACCAGCAGGAGGTGCCCCCCGCCTCGCAGCTCGACTCCATGGCCAGACAGGTAGGAGCCGCGACACGGCCACATAACGTGATTGTACTGTAATAGGGGCGGACGTTTCCATGGCGAGTTTGTAGTTTGACCGTTTGACTGGCAAGAGTTTGAGTGACTCACGATGCATGATCTCATTCTCACTCTCCCGTGGCATTCAAATATCAGCTTCTACATTCAAATATCGTTCAAATATCAGCGCTTTGTATAGACAAAACGCTTATTATTCCTGGATCTTTGGTATTACCTTTGAAGGCCACATACTTCGCGGGTAACTTTGAACATGAAGGAATATTCACAGGACGTGAGCATTATGTGTATGTCTGCTCTACATTCAACACCAGAGTTTTGACCGCCCTGTCCCGCCATCCCCCGACCACAGGTGCAGCAGCTGTTTCCTCACGTGTCACTGTCGGCCATCACCGAGGACCTGCAGCAGTCCGGCTCCATGGAGGCGACGGTGGAGAACATTCTGGAAGGTTCTGTCCACGACCATCCGGCGCCGCCCATGTTCACCAGCGACGAGCTGGCGGATGACGGCGGCGGCTGGAGCCGTCCGGACGGGGACGGCGGGGATGGCAGAGAGGAGAAACCGTACCGCCACCACGTCAGGTCAGTAGGGAGATGAAGGAGGAACTGTATTGGCTCAGGACAGTTAGCTTTGGGGGGAGGGTGGCTATAAGAATATACAGATCAGGTAGTGGGAGTGGAGGAACTGTGTTAGCAGAGATGAGTGGTAGAGTGCAACTGGCTACGAGTACAGCAGTCATTGGTGTGTATATAGAGGAACTATGCCAACTAGGACAGATTTTAGGCATAAATGCTGTCAGATAGGTATGCATTAGACGGATTCCTTGGCGCAGTCGTTCCCTTGGCTATCAGGTTGTAACGGTATCGCTAGTCGTACCCCCAACCCCTAACGTTTTAACCAGTCGTCTGCCGTCCGTCTGTACCTGCCTCAGTTGTAATTTCACCCGCCGCTCTTTTCCACAGACCTGAGGCGGATCCGGAGCCGGAGCCGGAGCCGCAGTGGCCAGAGGCGGTCGCGCCCGGCGGCTCGCGGTTCTCCAAGAGCGCCTCAGAGCGTCATACGCTACTGCAGCGGAGGAAGGCAGCCATGCTGGAGCGGGCCCGGCGGCGCTACTTGGCGACTCAGTCTGACGGCGGTGACAGCGGAGGGACCGTCTCGACCAGCTCGGACGATAGTGGCGCACCTGCGGCGAGTGAGGCACTCCGACCGGCCGCGCTGGTTGGCCGATGATTCAGATTGGAGCAAACAGACTGATCGAACAGACTACACAGACTAGTCAGACTGGTCACAGACTTTTCAGACTAGCTGACTGATGTGGGATTGGTGAAGAATCGCCGGGGCTGGCGGGCGCCCATGGGATCCCGCGCGGTCAGTTTACGGGTAGACACGACCCAGGAACGGCCGAATTAAAACGCCGCGACTCACGCGGTGGTCTCTGTACTTAGACCCTCCGCTGTCCGTTGGAGGTTTTGTGTGTTGATGATGATGAGTGTCGCTTCCAAGAGTGTATTCGCACGAACGAACGGAATGGGAACGCGAAGGTTTCCAGAAGGAACCGGTGGGGACGGGGGCAGTCTGTAGTGACGCCAGCGGCCGCTCCCCGTCCCCCGGAGACGGTTTGGGCTGTGAAGTTTGCTGTCGCTGCCGGCTTGCGTCGCTCCAGCCTCTGCTGCTAGTCGTACGAGTTGTGGATCGGTGGACGTCGAAGGACAAGTAGAGAGTGTTGTGGTCGCAGCGAAGTCTATTTTGTCGATATAAAACCGCTGATTACGCGAACAATATTCGTCGTCCCGCCACAAGAGAAGTCTGCCTCTTCTTTTGGAGACTGGTACTTAGTCGTTTTGTGTGCCGTGTCAGCTCGTGCCGTTATAGGTCACCTAGCGATAATGTGTTTGTTCGGTCATTAACGGGCGTTCGTTCCCGCGACGCCAAGTCATTGGAGATATTTTTGTAACAGCCTGCGGGGATCCCGCTGTGCCGGGCTTCGGAGGACCTACCCGTGTGTGTCTAGATTCCGTTCTTGCGCCGGCCCGGCTTTGTTTCTGCTTGTTAGACGCGAGTCTATTATCTCTGTCGCTGGGCATTATGAGAAATGATGCTCCTATCGGTGTGTTGGGTCGGAAGGGTGCCGGTCAGCATGAACCCATGTTTGTGTGTCTGTGTGATTTGAGTGGCTGCAGTGGGGAGTTCCCTGCCGTCGGTCTACCTCCAGTGCACCTGTTCCCCGCTTTGGTCAGACTGACACCCTGGCCTGGCTTCTCGTCTCTTTTGCTTTATATAATATAACAAGACTTCTTTGCAGTGTTGTGTTGATTCGAAAACCTTCCCTTCAAACACCAACACTTTGTGTTCCACCATTAAGTTTATATTTCAACGAAACTTTGGCCCATCGTCACCACATCGTTTCACGCAAGACGTCACGGAACACTTCATCAAACAATTCGCGTGTGACTGTGCTGCGTGCACAAAATCAGACTTGGAACCTGTCTGATCACCCCTATAGGCGAATCCACAGCACTCGGTGCCCACAAATCCCCAATCCCATCGGCCCCTCGCGGTGATCACTGGATATATCCGGCAGTTACCGGACGATGTCCCCCGGACGCCACGGGCGGCAGTGGTGGCCGCTGTCCTCGCTCCGTCGTCCTCTGAAACAACGGCCCTCGGTCAGAACTGGTCATGGGTCACGGGTCAGTCACACGGTCAAATGATCGTTCAGCCAGAACCCATGATCTAATAACGACTAACTATAACGAAATGCCCAAATAAGATCCCAGATTGACAATGCCCTATTGCCCCGGGCTCCAAGCTCCACCATGTTTTTGATGTACCGCTGTGCACTACAGCGTCTGTGCAAACTCATGCAAGACACGAAATCATCTTAACTCTCGATATATTGCGGGGGAGTCAAATATCCGCAGTCAGTTTGGTGTCCCATTTCCCCGGAGTCGTCTTACCTATCCGATGAAGTTCATGACAACCAGGTGCAGAATGACGTGGGCGAAGATGAAGTCGGCAAAGCCTCGCTCGGGACTGATGCCGCTGAACTCGCTCTTATTCTGAGGGTTCACCTGCAGCCTGAGGCACACTGGAACACAAAGCGTGGTCGTCGGGAGGGGGAGGGAGACATTGCTTTCACTGCAGCCTGAGACACACTGGAACACGTCACCGCGTGGTCGTCGGGAGGCGAGGGAGACATTGCTTTCACTGCACCCTGAGGCATGCTGAAACACGCAGTAGTGAGAGAGGGAGACATTGCTTTCACTGCAGCCTGAGACACACTGGAACACACAGCATGGTCGTCAGGAGGGGAGAGAGACATTGCTTTCACTGCACCCTGAGGCATGCTGGGGCACGCAGTACAGTCGTCAGGAGGCAAGAGAGACATTGTTTTCCCTGCAGCCTGAGACACACTGGAAAACGCAGCGTGGTCATCGGGAGGCAAGAGAGACATTGTTTTCCCTGCACTGCAACATGTTAATTGTTTGGGAAGCAAGGCTATGGCTGAGGCACAGCTTTTAACCATGCAAATGCATCTCATAGCACACCTCATTGGAATACATGGAATATTTTCTGCTCCCAACTCACAGCTCTATCCACTACAAATTAAGAGTGAAAAATATGTCATACAAAATATGCCAAAGATAAAGTATATTCCAAGGAGTAGAAACAAGATGTGATTTGCATGCTTGAAAGGTGTGTTCCAGGCTTAGATCCTGGAACATTACCCTACCTACACAAAATTGTCGCAGAAAAATCATTGGTTTGATACACAGTGAGCCATGTGATAGGTTTGCCGACTGGACACCATTTTGTTGAGACAGAAGAAACATAGGCTCAGTAGAAGCTATGGAAGCAAGGGACAGTGCTGCTTTGGAAACTGCTCAAATTGTTTTCACGTGTGACTGCTCTTCAAACTCGCATAAAATGATGGAGTAAAACCTACTCATTACTTTTGAGCATTGATACATTGCCTACCTAATTAACTGTGAAAAAATATCCTGCAGATAATCATGTACCTTGCAAAAATTCCCCCCATATAGTATAAACCAAGACTAGGAAATCACTCACTATGGAGTTCACTAATAGCCTTGTTTCTGGTACCAAAATAAAACAGCTATATCAAGTATTTGCTTTTCATAATCCAAGATTATTGGGGACTACTGATGTTAAGTTTGAGGCCGAGACATTATGAGTGATGACTTTATTCAAAGTTTTTGGACTGGGTTGTAATGCCAGTTATCCTGTATCTGAAAGCCCGAGTTGAGGCGAATGAGCCTACTCCCACGATAAGCAAACCCAGACACTGCAATTGAACTTAAGTTTGCCAAATAACCAACAGCCACCAACCGCCACCCCACCACCATACTCACCTCCCAGAACGAAAGATCCAACGCATGAGATGAAACCACTGAGGAATGAGTTAAATGGGAATGTGCCGACTAGGCAACAATAAACAAACTGAATCACTCCTGTCAAGAAAATCTGCACGAGGTAAGCATCGATGATCATAAGCTTCTTTGGCGTTGTCTTTCCATATTCTGAGCAAAGTTTCTTCACCACTGCTCCAAAAGATTCAGCCATTTTTATTTGTTGCTTTTGACCTGTGATATCACCCACTTCCTAATACCTATATATCTTTTTATAAATTAAAATGTAAATACAATTAACAGCACACAACGCACAACGGCACAGAGCAGCCGGTGACTGCGCCAGAAATATCTACACGCCGTTTTTGTCTACATTTTTATTATTGTTGTTTTCCATAGAAATAAAGACTTGTTTTATTTCCCTAATTTGCTCCTATCCTTAAGTATCACATCAAATAAAATACTTTAAATCGAATATCATATGAATTGTATTCACGCATTTTTTATATGAATGTTGATTTTGATACAACATTAGTAATGACCGCTAGGGGTTTCAGCATTTGTACACGTTGGTATAACGCTTATTTTGATGCCCTTTCTGAAAGTCAAACTACTGCAAAAACATGCAACGCACCACAATGTATATAAATGCGGATTGCGGCGCACTAGCAAGCAAGTGAATTAAGTGAATTGTTGTACCCAGGGCTGCAGAGTCGATGTTACGGAGTTACGGCGACTCCGACTCCGATTCCGACTCCGGGCAGAAATGTCGACACCGATCGACTCCAACTCCCGACTCCGACTCCGCACTCCTGGCAGGGCTGCGGAGTCGACAGATTTTCGGTGACTCCGACTCCGACTCCGACTCCGGTCAAAACTGTCGACTCCGACCGACTCCGACTCCGACTCCGACTCCGACTCCGCAGCCCTGGTGCTAGCAAAGTGTTTCACGACGTGGTTTAACCCTCCATGGGCGCGGGAACTGGGGGGGGGGGGGGCAGTGGGGGCAGCTTGCCCCCCCCCCCCCCCCCCCCCCAACTCTGGTGCCTCCACAACTTCGAGACGGAATACCACACTTTTTTTGCAAATGATTTTTTTTTTTGTTGAAAAAGCCAAGGGATCAGAAATAAGTGGCCTGAAACCGGTGAGAAAACCAGATTTGGGGGTACCCTAGGTTGATCTCTATTATGGTGTGCCCTCCCCCCCAGTCTGAAAGTAGTTCCCGTGCCCTGTAACCCTCGCCCCCGCCCATACAGGGAAGGTCGAGCGCCCCCCCCCCCTCGGTTTTCGCGGAGTCGGGATCACTCGCGTAAAATGCGGCCGATCGCGACGAAACTTTCAGTACCCTCGCGATATTCAATTCTACACCTACCCTGAAAATTTCATGACCCTGACCCAAACGACTTTTGGCTTGTGACCTACTTTACGAGACCATGTTTGGCCGAAATCGCGATTCGGCGTATTTCCGCTCGCATTAGCCGCGCGTTTGCAGTCTTTTCGTGGTTTCAAGCGTTCAGACATGTGCTAAGCTCTTGCTCCCACGCATTAGGGTAGGTGTCAAGGTCACCTGAAGGTCAGGTCAGGTCAATGACCTTTGATGACCCCGGTTCACTTTTTTTAGTTTAACATGTTTCTGGGCTAGTCTTTGGAGCTGAATTCGAATAAAGCAACCTTGAACATTTACGAAGTAGTTTTGGCGCCTTCGTAGCATGTTACGAAGCTGTCAGAGGTGGTTGACACCTGCTACGAATATCTAGCCAGCCCGGCAGAACTGAAGAACTGAAGCCCGGCAGAACTGAAGGGCCCGGCCGAGACGTCCGAAATTTTAAGATTAGTTTGTCATCTCTAGGTAAGTGAGACTGAAGAGTCATGTCTTAATAGTTAATACCCAGGTAATGCTTATTTGAAATTGTTTTAACGGACTTTCACTGGGTAGTGGCCAGTGGGTAAAAGTTATTATTGCCTATTGGTCCCAATAACCAATAATAACTTTTACCCACTACCCAGTGAAAGTCCGTTAAAACAATTTCAAATTTGTCATCTCTGCTCAAATGCCTCCTGATCATGTAAAATATTTCACCTTTGCGACGAAAGTAAAACGTTATGCGCGACATGGCGGCTGGCGCATCAACTCATTTGGATTTTGTCTCACGCTCTCGCCTCTCAATACCTATGGCCAAATTAAATCCGTGCCCGTGACCACTGGTAAAAATAACGTAATTCGACTATCTTCTTTATTTTTGACCCATTAAAGGGACCCTCCCACCTTAACATTAGTTTTGAGTTGAGATAGCCAAATTGGTGGCCATGGCCTGAAAATACCGGTTTGGGCATTCACAACATCGAAAAATGCTTTAATTCGGAGATATGGAATTTCAAACTTGCAGTTTTCGGATTCTAAGGGGCTAATGCATTGGTATGCCCCCTTAGAATTTGTGACGTCAGCGGAGATCTAACGATTTTTAAATCTTTTACTAAAACGTTTGGCAGCACGCGGTGGTATATGCTGCTTTGCGCGCAACAAATGCCGCACTTTCAAATAAAGTCGCTAGGAACAGCGGAGATCCCAAAAAGTAAACAAAAGTAAAAGTCTAATATCTTGAAAACCGGTGAATATTTTTCGATGAAATTTGGTAGATATTCATTTTTGCTCTTTCTGAGCCGAGCGACATCACTTTCATGCCAATTCATTAACTTTTTTGAAGGTGGGAGGGTCCCTTTAATGCTTGGTCCCTTTCCTGGACGCTTATCCAGTCGCCAGGATCTTGACCAAAGGAACAGATCTCGCTCATAGCCGCTCTTTGTTAAGGCTTATCATGGGCCGGGGCGTAGGAACCTCAACGAAAAATGTGTGTGTGGGGGGGGGGGGGGGAGGGGCAGCGAAACTTCAATGCCACTTTGTGGGAGCGCCAATACCCCCATAAAGAATTTCTTAGCAGTTTTGTGCTCATCTCACCTTGCTGAACCATTTCCTGCTCTTAGTTTTGTATTTACCCAAATAAAAAATAAAAATACTCTAAAAAGGCTGAAAAGTGGGGGGGGGGGGCATCCCCCAGCCCCTGTTCCTACGCCTAACTATGTGTCTCACTCAGCAATGTCTGATCCATCAACACGTCCCTTAGTTTGCCTACCTTACTGACGATCGTTTGTTGACGCTGTACGTCTTTATGCCTGAGCTCGGTCGGTCGGTCGGGACGCGATCGGTTTCCAGGACTGAGTCTTCGGTTACGTCATCAAGAGGTTTGCCAGCTCAACATTTTGACGGTCGTTGTACGTTCTGCATACTTTCCGGCTTTGATCGATTGCTCGTCCTACAGGCTACAACAAATATTTGCCTGTAAACGTGAAAGCCTACGGCTTTTCGTCTATTATGTTGTGCCTACACCAGAGCCTATTTTAAGGGAATTTGACTGGGGGGGCAACCTGGAAAATTGTCTTTAATAATCCATTAACCCTCGCCCGTATTGGTGTTTTCCAGCTGCGAACGTATAGGTATGGGGCCGTTGGACCCTCCCCCTTGCCGTTTCGCCCCTGATCGAGCCAGAGCTTCGCGGAAAAAAAACGACCGTGCTGCCCGTGATGACAGTAAGCCGATGATACCCAATTTTAAGGTCCTAGGTCATCGGTTGACCTTCCAGGTCAGGTCAATGACCCAAACGTCGGGAAAATCGTAACCTGTTAGAGCGTCGTAAAGGGTGGGTGCTATGTTTTTTTTTTTCGGGGAGCTGATCACGAATATCATGTTAGTACTTAGTTATGATCATAGATGATGTCTTCATGCATTCAGGCCAGGTCGGGTCAGGTCAGGCTCAGGTCAGGTCAACCAGTAAGCGTTTTGCCGGGTATTCGTAGTAGGTGGCAACCGCCTCTGACAGTTTCGTAACATGTTACGAAGGCACCAAAACTACTTCGTAAACGGTCAAATGGTTGCTAAATTCGAATTCAGCTAAAAAAACCAGCCTAGAAACGTATAAAACTCGAAAATGTGAACCGAGGTCATCAAAGGTAAATGACCTGACCTGACCTTCCGGTGACCTTGACACCCACCCTAATGCATGGGAGCAACATCATATCCCATGTTTGAACGTTTGAAACCACGAAAAGACTGCAAACGCGCGGCTAATGCGAGGCGACATACGCCGAATCGCGATCCCGGCCAAACATGGTGCCATGGTGCTAGGCCGCCAGTGCATCTGAAAGAACTGTGGTGCCCCTGACAAGCCTGAGGTTCTAACGACAGGCCCATGGTGCCCCTGACAGGCCCATGATGCCCTTGCGAGGCCGGTGGTGTCCCTGCTAGGCCGATGGTGCCTCTGCTAGGCCGCTGGTGCCCCTGGGCCCTGACAGGACTGTAGTTCTCCTGACAAGCCTGGAGTGTCCCCGACATGCATGTGGTGCCACTAACAGGTCCAAGGTGTCCCTGCGAGTCCGCAGGTGCCCCTGTCAGGCATGTGGTGTCCCTGCTAGGCCTCTGGTGCCCCTGACAGGCCTGAGGTGCCCCTGAAAGGACTGATGGTGTCCCTTGGCCCTGACAAGCCTGAGGTGCCCCCGACAGGCCCGTGGTGTCGCTGACAGGTCCGTGGTGCCCTTGCTAGGCCTGTGGTGCCTCTGGCAGGCCTGTGGTGCCCCTGGCGGGTCTGTGGTGGTACCCCTGACAGGCCCAATGTGGTGCTCCTGCGAGGCGGGTAGGGCCCCTGGCAGGTCTGTGGTGCCCCTGGCAGACCTATGGTGCTCTTGCTAGGCCGATGGTGCTCCTGCAGGCCTGTGGTACCCCTAAAAAACTTGTGGTGCCCCTGACAGGCCCGTGGTGCCCCTGACAGGCCCAAAGTGCCCCTGTGAGGTCGATGGGGCCCCTGGCAGGTCTGTGGTGCCCCTGGCGCAGACCTATGGTGCTCTTGCTAGGCCGATGGTGCTCCCAACCAGTGCTGGAAATGAGGCCGCTTTTTGGTATCGGCGTTTTATCCTCCGGGTGGATTACCCCCGTCCAGCGATTAGCCTTTCGGGACCCACTCAGGGTCGCGGTTGTTTTCGCCGCTCGCCCTAGTCGAGATGCAAAGTTAATAGTCACACGAAGCTTCTTTAGGGCCAGCCAAACCAGCTTAGTCTGGAGATACTGTTAAATGTATGCATGTTGTAGATGAAAGAAAAAAATGTTTTATAAAATCGATTAATTTCGAATTCGCATTTTCAGAGGCCCCAAATAAACTGCGTGTGACTATCAACTTTGCATCTCGAAAGGGCCGAGCGGCGAAAACAACCGCGGCTCTGAGCGGGTCCCGAAAGGCTAAGCGCTAGACGGGGCACCCACCCGGAGAATAAAAGGCCGGGACCAGAAAGTGGCCTCATTTCCAGCGCTGCTCCCAACAGGCCTGTGGTGCCCCTGACAAGCCGGTGGTGCCCCTGGCAGGCCTGTGGTGTCCCCAGGACCCAAGGGGGCGGGGGGGGTCATGACCCATATGACCCACCCTTGGATCCACCACTGGTTATTACTTGCAGACTGACTCATTTGACATCCATTGCAAAACAAGTCACAGTAGTACCTATGTTTGTTACCCTGTTCCTTTATGCTCATTTTTAAAGTGGGCAAATCTCGACAACTGGGGGGGCAATTCTGTTGAGTGCGGGGGCATTTGCCCCCCCAGTTAACATGTTAAAATAGGCCCTGGCCTACACTTTTAGCGATGCATATAGAAAAGGTCACCTTTCGCTCAATCGACCGATTTACTCAATGAATATGAAAAGCGTAAACCGCTGTATCGCCGTAATTCCTATTAGCGTCATTGAATGGCCCACGATGTCCGGCTGCTTTGAATGGGTGGCAGGTAGCTCCTGCGGACCACGTGAACAGTCCAGTGCTCACGGTCAGGATGGACGGACCGGTCACGATAGTGACCGGGGAGGCGAGCTTCGTGTCTGGTGACCCCAGGTGGGGCAGCGATTCCAGCGAAAGTTGTCCAGCGCCCAGCCAGCAGGTTACAAAATTTCCCACAGGACACGAGCACAGAGACTCAGTCCGAGTCGCCAGGCCCGGCTGGGTGTTTGCACGCCATCATCCACTAGCCACGGCCGGGCCCCGGCAGGGACCGCCCGGCCGTGGAAAGTCGCGCTCCGCGTTGGGGAAGGTGCTGCGCTGGACGGCGCGGCTGGGCCTGCTGCTGCTGCTGACAGTGCTGCTGTGGCAGCAGACGCTGCTGTACCGCGCGCAGCCGGTCAGCACCAGCCTGGTGCCGCGTCACGCCCCCTTTCCGCACCTCACCCTCTGTCCCAGGATACACCTACAGGACCGGAATTTCGTCAACAGCTCCCTCCGGCGGACGCTCGCCGGCGAGCTGAGCGTGGAGGAGTTCTACAACCTGACCACCCTGCAGCTGGTGCTCTCCGAGACCAACCGGCTGAAGGTCTACGGTCGGAGGCCGATCGCTGAGCCCGTCACCGGCAGCGGTGTGCTCGGCACCTGGAGAGAGCGCTACTACCTCTCGCTTCGTGACGGCGCCTGGCCGACTCGGTGTTTTACGTTCCAACCCAGCGCGTATCTGAACAATCGCACCAATAACGTGCTTAGAATACAGCTGCTGCTAGGCGTTCCACCGCTTTTCGGTAACTACAAGGGCGTCTCGTATCGCCTATACTTTCACGGACCAGACGAGCCAAATTTGGGTGACCTCTCCACGCCTGAGCACGGAAGAACGGTGCCCAAGACGGTGGAAGTGGCATTGCGCTCCAGAATTAACGGCCGGTTCGTCGTCACGGTGGCGTTGAAGAAACTGGCGAGCCTCCGGCGGCGGCCCTGTCGGGGCGAGCCCGGCTACTCGCTGACCCGGTGTCTGAAGGAGTGCCAGTGGCGCCGGCTGGCGGCGCTCACCGGCTGCCGTCTACCGCACATGACCTACCCCGGCGTGTTCCTGCCCGACACACGAGGACCTCTTGATCACCTGCCACCGTGCCAAACTCCGATCTTTATAACTGAACCTCAAGGTGACGCGAGGTCTCATCGAAAAAGAATTGATGGCTGCTTAGAAAGTAGCTTCAACTTTAGCAGACGACACAGTAGCGTCGATCCAACAGGCAGCACTACAGACCCAGCCACGGATTTAGGAGAGCCATCGTATGAATACGAGAATGACCCTGATGATGCACTGCAAGCCTATTCGGTAACTGAAAGTCATTACCATGTCATGCCATCGGTTCCTGAAAATATCCTCCACGATCTACAAGATTGCGAGTGTCTACCGGCTTGTCAACAAACTCATTACCACATCAAGCAGAAAGGTGCCTCACAATCCTCAAAACCATGCAACATTAAGGCTATGTTCGATTTGGATCTAGCAACCGACCAAGTGGAGGAGGAACTCTCCTTCTCAACGAGCACACTTCTTGCAAATTTCGCTGGATTTATCGGTATGGTCACTGGATTCTCTCTTTTTACCCTAGCTGAGGTCATAGAAGCCATGATTTGCGTGCTGAGCGCCAGACGTCGAGCCGTGCGACAGATCAAGCCAAAACAAAAAAGCGATGAATGTCTGTAGAAAGACCATTTTGAATGTTAAAACACGTTCAGCTAAATCACCGAAAAGCTCAGTGAAAAAATCGAAGAATGATGAAAGCACATGGACATGAGGATTGAGGAAGCAAGAAGAAACGAAGACGTCTTTTAAGAGAGTTAAGCGTTGTTAAGCGTTGTGATGAATTATGAGCATAGTTAAAGGGACCCTCCCACCTTCAAAAAAGTTTATGAATTGGCATGAAAGTGATGTCGCTCGGTTCAGAAAGAGCGAAAACGAATATCTACCAAATTTCACCGAAAAATATTCACCGGTTTTCAAGATATTATGCTTTTTCAATTTCTTTTGTTTACTTTTTGGGATCTCCGCTGCTCCTAGCGACTTTATTTGTAAGCAATAGTTTGGCAGCTGAAAGTGCGGCACTTGTTGCGCGCAAAGCAGCATATACCACCGCGTGCTACAAAGCGTTTTAGTCAAACATTTAAAAATCGTTAGATATCTGCGCTGACGTCACACATTCAGAGGGGTATTCCTATGCATTAGCCCCTCTGAATCAAAATGCTGCAATTTTGAAATTCAATATTTCCGATTTAAGACATTTATCGATGTTGTGAGTGCCGAAACCGGTAATTGTGAGCCAGGGACCCCATTTTGGCTATCTCAACTCAAATCTAATGTTAAGGTGGGAGGGTCCCTTTAATTGACCGAATCCTCAATATAATCTGAAATCAGATTAAATTAGATTATATTGTTTAAGTTGTGCGAAAATGATTCAGATATTAGGTGGGTGGGTGTGTGCTTTGCCTTCTTGATATTTACTCGTTTAACCGTTAAAAATAGGTAATTATTTATTATCTTATCGGCCAAATCTCTTTTGACGTTAACCGACCGTGAGGGCTGGACTTAAGAAGGCGTAGAAATTGTGTGACATGTAGCCTGCCGTTGTAAAAATGACCCATTTATTTCGACCGTTAACTAAACGGTCGCGCTTTCGGTGCTCGTAGACACTGGTACTGTAATCGCTTTGTCAATGCACTTATAGGGCTGATCCAAGTTGTATGTATGGTAGGTATAGCAAAAGTACACCTATTTATGCGGAAGATTATTCATGCGGAGGAAGCGCTAGTCATTCGAAAGCTAGTCGGTAAGGCACGATCAATAAGTAGATTATTTATTGTTCAATGCGATATTCTGATAACATTTGTGAACCAAGTTTACACGCCAGCCAATGAGTCACATTTACAATAAGCAAGGCAAGCTATACTGAGACGGCGACGACGTCCCCTTGACAGTCTAAAGCACCATGTGCGAAATTATCCATTAATATCCTTACACTCAACAAAGTCGAAAAAATATGTCGTCCTTGGCGCACCCTGAGAGTCCCTCGCCTTCCGCACACCGGCTCATCTCCCACCAGTCATGCTCCCGGTGCTCTTTCACCTCTTGATGACCTTCTCCACCACCTCCTCCTCAATCTCCACCGTCTCCGTCTCGGGCGGCGGCGGCGGCGGCGGCGTGCGGCTGCGGTCGCGCTGCTTGATCACCACCTCCGTCTCGAGCAGCTGCGGCCGGTGGTGGTGCCGCCGCCGGTGCCGCTCGCCCCACTTCCGAAACATAAAGTGCACAGACTTGTGACTCCACAGCGCATCGATGCACGCAAACACCTCCGAGACGGAGATGAACTGCGCCACGATCGTGTCCAGGCCTCCGCAGACCTGGCACTGGCCGACCATGCTGCCGACGGCACCTCCGCCGTGACGAGTCACCACCGTGAACGGGCCGGCACGTGTCACGGCCGAGCCCTGCAGGACGGTGCGGTTGGTCAGCGATGACGGGATTCCCGACGTCCCTGCCGGCGGCGGAGGGAAGTGGGGCGGCGGCTGAGAGTCGTGCCGGGAGCTGCCCAGGCCGATGCCGATGTCGCGGCGGTGTCGCTGCCGGCGGCGGCGGCGGCGGCGCTTGTGATGGTGACTGTGCCGCGCGTGCCGCCGTTTCCGGCGTCGTTTCCAGCCAGCCTCCTCGGTGGGTGTCATGTCCACTGACACCTGACTGAGGTAGCCGGTCAGTAACGTCTGGTCGCTGGACGGAAAACCCAGCGTCAGCAGCAGCGAGCCCTCGTCATTGATCCAAACGCCGGACAGGTCACACCAGTGGCGCACTTTCTTCTTTGGGTGCTTCTGCTGGTTGGTGTGCTGGATGTTGACCGTCACCTCGCCGACGGCGCTGGAGTTTTTGCCCGACTTCAGTGAAGACTTGGGCACCGCTGTGGGCTGCGGAATCTTGATGCCGGCGCCGACCAGCTCGTACACGGGCCCGGTGACGCCCTGGTCGGGCAGCTGCAGCTCGGCTAGGCCAGCCGCCACGTTGCCGTCCTGGTCCTGAGCCACCAGCTCCCCGACCACTCCGTTGTCGCCTTTTCGTGTCACCGAGCCATTCTGTCAGGGAAGGGGAGCATTAGATTTGGTGCAATAGTGATTTAGATATTTCGACGAGCACGGCAACAAACGACCACAATTGAATTGTATTTTATCTCCGACGCTTTTAGACCATGATTTCAATTTTTCCAAGCAAATACACGCTATGAAATGTTATCGTGCCATTTTACGCTGGTATTTTCACATCTATTTATATCTTTTTAATAGCTGTGAAGCACTAAATAATAAATAACCCTACAGCTAATTGACTTATCCGCGATGACGTTCAAAAGAACAGTTTCACATACCCCGGTGAGACTGGAGAGCTGAACTTGCTTTGAGACTGTTGTTTCATCTGCTGCTTCCCTGAGATATGAAAAATTGGTGATTATTGATACAAGAACAACAGTCGAAATAAGTCATTAAAAATGGCACGGCATTAAGACATTCCAAAATATATTTCTAAGAGTTTATCTGTCTCTGTTTACCTTTTATGACGTTTCCCTGGTTTAAATGACCCGCCGCTGCTCAGTCGTGTTAATTTCCCGATCACCTGCAAAAGGCAAATTTAAAAGGCACAGACCTCAAACTGAAGACGCTGGTATTACTCAGATTAGTTACTAAGCGGATACATGTTTCAAGTTTTGTCCCAACAGACGGATTGTCGCTTGTGGAGCGAAACGTGAATATACGAAAACGGTGTAAAACCAAAGCGTTACGCATCTAATCCGTAGATTTGAGGTGTTAAAAACGATTGAAAGAAACCACTAGCCGAGTATTGGACCAATTATCTATTTATGTTCATGCTTAGTTTATTCATGAAAAGGAAGGAATGCCCGAAAACTCTTACCCCTCGTCTATGGCGAGTAAAGTTGAAAAAGTTCTTCCAATCCACAGGCGGTTTTTGTGTATCTTGGTAGAAAGAATCCCCGAGACCTTTGGACACTGATGGGAAGTTGTTGGATCCGACATCGGGTCTTGCAGCATGAGTCATCCACAAAAGAAAAAGCGCAGTTACGATGCGCATTTCGCATTAAGTCGTTTCGTTCCAGGTGTAATCGCACTCATCGTACCTTCATATGTAGTATTTAAATATTTGCATATAAGCTATATATGCAAATATTAATTTTACTCTACTTTTCACTACCACAGACATAAAGCTCGATCGAATTAATTTTTGCTAGCATGCGCTCTATATATTTTTAGTCTTTCATTTAGCAGCAGAGCGACAATCTTCTCAGGAAGAGGAACTTCATTAGCTTGTTTTCTTTTAACTTGATTGTTATTCAGTTTGATTATGAAAATGATATGCAATCTTTTTTTACGCAAAGGGGAATAATTTTGGATGCTGCTCAAAAGAAATGATTAGTCAAAAATCTATCAGCTTATGACCAAGCAAACAACAAAAATTCAAGTTCTTGTGATTCACCTCAAAGACATTAATTACAGCGATATCTGCGGTCGTCGATATACAGCTAACAACCTTTTCGAACTTTAAGTGACGACTTCGGATGACTTGCACAAAGCTTCTGGAGATGGACTCCGGTTCATCTGACAAAAAGAAACGTAACAACCTATTTCATAGACCTCTGATTACCGAGGCATACCTACATAAAAACGTCTATGCCTTTACCAATCATTAAAATCTAAAAGCTCTGCCCAGTAACGATAGTTATTTATCCTCCCCATACAAGTTAAGCACTACCTTGATAACTTTATTTAATTTTTGAGCAAGAAAATATGAAAACGTAACATACATTTGGTATTAACATATTTCTAATCGCTTGTTGTTTTAATCGTTAAAAATTATACATCATTAAAAATATCATCTTTCCCATTCCCAACAATCTTGTGAAAGCGCCAGGGGGCGCTGCGGGTCCCGCGGCGCTCAAAGCCGCATCCGAGGAGTCGGACGCCGGACGGCACGAGCGCGTTATTTTTGTGCCTGGAGGCGCTATTTGCCGTTTGCGGCGTTGGACAGTCGTCGGCGGACCGGGGGACGACTGAGCGCGTCGCGTCGGTGACGGCGGTGGCAGCGGCGCGGCGGTGCGGTGACACCGGAGCGAGAGGGTGCGCGACCGGCACCTGGACAATCGGCACAGGTGAGTGACGGCCGACACCGGACACCGTGGACACTCGGTGTGGCCACGCACCCGCGCCGCCCCGGCCGGCTGCACGGCCTATTCCTGGGCGGCTCAGTGGTGCCAAATAGCGCGGCTGGCGATCAGCACCCCGAGCCAACTGTCCACTGGTCGTGTCCCACCTCGGCCTAGGTCAGCAGTCAGCGCTGTCCACACATCGACCGCCGCACACTGGCTGAGTGGCTATGTTCCACTTCCCTAGGCCAACATTGTCCACGCACCACCCACTGGCCACGTTCCACATCCTTAGGTCAGCATTGTCCATTCAGGGTCCACTGGTCACTGACCACACCCTTAGGTCAGCATTGTCCATTCAGGGTCCACTGGTCACTGGCCATGCTCCACATCCTTAGGTTAGCACAGTCCACACGAAGCGCTTCTTCGGAAAGCTTACCATGTCAATTTAGTTTTGTGACTGCACGATCTACTGTATCATGCGTTCGTGGACAATTGGTGAACTAAATGAGCAGCAAATGCACGATTATGAGCGTCCAAGAGGCCAACCTGCTTCAAATGCATCGAGACTCGAGAGCTTATCATTTTTCCATTGAACAGGCTCCAAACACTTATATCACCTTATGGCGTCAGCCGTCGGCATCGGAACTGTTCATAACAATACAATTACCTATTACGATAACTGAGGACAAGAATAATGATAACGGTAACTATGTGTACTTACTGCCTTGGCCCTTAGACAATTCATCACATTGTCACCGCATGCGTCACTATCATTCCATAGTGTAGTATTTTGGCACAAATACTGGCCTAGTGTTCTAAAAGCTCCGGAAGTTCTACTAGCTGCCTTAGCCCTTAGACGATTCCTCACAATGCATTGTTGCGACACGCGTCATCATCATTCGCATTATCTTTTGCACAAATAGTGCCCCAATTGTCATGTCAAAAACATTGGAATGGGCAAACACCCATGTGTTAGTGAGTTCTGTTTTTATACCTGACAAACGCTAGGTAACAATCAAATTGAGTATATTCCCTTCCACCCCACCTTCCCCTTATTTTTCAATTTTCCCTGTCTGCCCTCTCCTGTTTGCCCTCTTTAAATGACCCGCCGCTGCTCAGTCGTGTTAATTTCCCGATCACCTGCAAAAGGCAAATTTAAAAGGCACAGAGTTCAAACTGAAGACGCTGGTATTACTCAGATTAGTTACTAAGCGGATACATGTTTCAATTTTTGTCCCAACAGACGGGATTCTGTTGGGACAAAAATAATAATATAAGAATACATAAGATTGGGCCTTTAATAAGATTACAGTGTCTACCTTTGCCATAGATAACATGAATCATGTTATCTATGCCTTTGCATATCATGTTCAGTGTTCAACCGAGTGCGTCAAAGACATTCGATGCTGCAATGGGTGTCGCAACTTTACAAACAGCCAGCATACACTGTCTCAGATCATGAAACAGCGAGTGGTTCGTGAGGTCGCTAAAAGTTCCTCTAGGAGGTCATTCCACATGTATTTGACCTCGATCACACCACAACGCAACGCTAGCGCCGAGCGCCTGAACGTATACTGCACCGCACAACACACTGTGCCTGAATTCATACTGCACCGCACAGCACACTGCGCCTGAATATATACATGTTACGGGTCATATGCTAACTTGGGCAGTATGCAAACTACCCGGGCAGTATGCAAACTACCCAACAGCCCGGGCAGTATGCATACCGCCCGGGTAGTATGCATACTACCCGACCCCTTGGGCAGTATGCATACCGCCCGGGCAGTTTGCATACTGCCCGGGTAGTATGCATACTATAGTTCGTTTTTTTTTTCAAAAGGACGCTGGCTCAAAGTGCATTATCGAAGCTCTCACGTGAGTTTTGGCAACTTCAGCGTCTGGCTAAGAATTTCTTGCCGAAAAAATGATCGATTTCAAATTGTGCTCGGTGAATACATGGAAATTGTGACTTTAAAAATAAGCATACTACGATGACGTCACTGGTGGCAGCTGGCACCCAATGTCCGTACGAAAGCATTCATTGCCAACGAATTTTGGGAAAACTTCGTTTTTTGCTCTTACCGAGGCCCGAATCGAGTAATCGATTCTTTCCATGATAGTTATGCGTTGCATTGCAATGCAAGTTCCACAGCATGACGTCACCACTGTTCTCATGTCTAGTTCCAAAACGCAGGCATGGAATTTATCGGGAATAATTCACATGTTAAAATAAGGCGACGTTCGAGTTTCTCAGGTTCAGTTTTTGCCCGTTTTGCTAGCTAAAACACGTGCTTGTTCGAAAAACATACTTGGAGCCAGCGTCCTTTTGAAATAAAACGAACTATACCCACCTTTTCTCTCACGGGCAAGATGTTTACTCGGGCAATATGCTGACCGCATGGCCCGTGAGACTAATTCATGCAATAGCTCACATATACATGTCAATGGCAGACGCTTTAACCCGCGCCGGGGCGGTGCTCGGCGCCAGTCGTGCCGGGCTGGGGGGCGGGTTGAGCACCCCTGCTCGACTCCCGTGCCACTTAGCGGAACAGAAGTAAGCGGCATGTAAGATGCGGTAACCGGCATTCGAAATAGCGTCAAAGATCATGACGAAAGTGCCCTAGTCATTTTTAAGGCCAGGTCAAAGAATAGGGCAACAGAGGTTATCAAAGATCGAATTTCGTCTTTTTTCATTTTTTTTTATAAATTCGCCCATAACTCGGAAGATAGGAGAGCTACAGCGCCGCAGAAAGACGCATTCGATAGCTCTGTTAGCGCTTTCTGGAATAAGTACTCAAAGTTGATCTAAGTTCCAAATTTGACCTGAGGTCAAGGTCATGACCTGACATGAAAAGGTCATGTTGTTTATCAGCCTCCTTATCGTCGAACTGAACACATTTAAGGTTGTTTACATGACCATCGCTCCAACACGTCTCCATAAAAAAAAATAATGGTCAAAGAACTGCTGGAGACCTTTTATGACCTGATATGACCTCATGGTCATAAAAAGGGGTCACAAGTGCAATTTTTTTCGATTCAGTGCGTCATGTTTACCTGTATGTAACCCGATGTTTGAGAGTGTTTAGAATGACGTTCAGCAAAAGAGGCGTCCTTCAACTTTCTCCTGTCAACTTTTTAGGGAGACTGTGCAATATTGACTTGACCTAAAAGTCATCGGTATGGTATCAAAATTCAAATACATGCCTTTTGAACCTAATGTTACTCTTATTAGTCGCTTAAAGTTTCAAAGCGATCGTTAGGTCGGTGTAGCTATGGCGAGCATTCCAACTTTTTCTGGGGTAAGGTCACTTGACCTGACCTGGTAACCCGACCATAAGAACTTGTGACGTCTTACATGTAAATGGTTTCGTGTAACATTAGGTATTGAAACTATGATAACGCCCTCTACAGGTCCAAGTGTCAAACCAAAGCCAGCGAGTGATGGCACTACAGATGTGTCGTCATTTCAGATAAAAGTGACTTGTTGGCCGCTGGCAATGAAATTCAATGAAATTCTGGGGAAATATTTTAAATCTTTATATTCAAAACATTATTTCACTCTTCGATCGATAAATCACGTTTGACGGCAAAAAAGACTACGCGATTAAACTACGTTACTTTTTTTAATTTAGTCCGAACCTTTTGAATAGAAGGATTCACAGGGACAGAGCCCCCGCTAAGCGAAGCTTGTTGCGGTAACCCTGCCCTCTACCCTCCGATCGCGCAATGCCGGTTCTATGGCAGAATTTGGAGTCCAAAGTTTAACCCTCACCGGACCTATTGGTTTTCTACATACGCGCCGGCCGAGGGGGGAGGGGCGGGTACAACCCCCCCCTCGCCGTTTCGCCCCTGGTGGAGATAGCGCGTCGCGAAAAAAACGAGCGTGTGCGCCGTTACGAGACGCAGAGATTGGTACCCGATTTTAAGGTCCTAGGTCAACCGGTGACCTCTGAGGTCAGGTCAAGTGCCCCAAGGTACGGTTCAGTTTTTGGTGAATAACTTCGCAAAAAACGGCCGCAGAGCCGCGATTGTGACAGCATCGTGTTCGCCTTGCTCAGGCGCGTCGAATGATATACTTTTTGTTCGGGTCAGGTCAACTTGGGGTGTTGTCCTCAGGTCAAGGTCAGGTCAGCACCCTCAGGTCACGAAGTTGGTCGAAAGAGGTCATGTCGCATATCATTCGATTCGGCAGGTCTTCCTGAGTCCATTGGTGGCTTTCCCGACTCGCTAGCTCAATTTGATCGGGAGTTATTGACGAATCTGATATGTTTTTCGATGGTTTTAGCACATTCAGGAGATGTGTCGTTGACTATGTGAGAAGCCGCTAAATGTGCAGCTGCTCTTCGTGATTTTAATGATTTTGTCATTGTGTTGTATTGTATTATTATAGATAGGACTTCGTCTTTAAATGGGGTGTCCCCGTCGACGATGAATTAAATAAAAAAAAGAATAACTAATATGACCTTGATGACGTCATAAATGACGTCATGCAAGGTCAACATTGCAAAAGTGACGCATCTAACCTTGCAAGGAGTTCATCAAATCACGATTCTGTGTGCTTGAGATAGTTGGAGATCGTTCCCGGCGCCAGAATAGCAGTTTTCATTTTTCCCCATTGACTTATAATGGTGAGGTCACGAAAATGACCTGACCTCATATGACCTTTAGGAAAAATCCGAGATATACAAGTTGTGGGACTCATAATGGATACTAGATCCTGCAAGTTTCATTTCCCTTTGACATCTCCTCTGGCAGTGAGGGCGTTGCGAATTTGCGACATCTGAAGACCGTGCAGAGGTTCACTTATGACGTCATAGGTCAGTGACCTGACCTGACCTAAAAATGTGCTTGGTGTCAAAAGATGCGGCTTGGATCAAAGGTCAGGTATGCCAAGTTTCAGCTCTCTATCGCCAGCGTGTTCGGAGCTATCGCGAAAAAACCGTATGGGGGGGCGGCACCCGCCCCCCCCCCCTCGGCCGGCGAGGGTTAAAGTGCGCACA